TGTAATTTATATATGCTGTGCAGAAAATTGGACTCTGAAGTGCCAGGTTTCAAAGTGATATAGAGGCCTATGTTCAGCCCGTGAGTGTATGGGGTAAAACAAAACTGATGAACTGTCACTAAAGGAAGAACACAAAATGACCTCTTCATATGTTCAGTTGAATAATATGATCCCACTCATTCTCAAGGAAAATGTGTCTCCAGGCAAAAGTGAAAAAGACAAAGCAGAACAGTTGTTTCCTCTAACCCTTTTTTCTGATCGCTGTCTTCCCATTAGCTAACATTCCTCACTATCATTGCAACTGGAGAAAACACTCTTTCCTTAGAAGTCATTAGGATGATCACCCTGGAATAAGGGCTATAAATTAGTCCCTTAATTTCTCAAGTAATACCTTAAATTAGTATTTTAGGATTGTTTCTGCTGCTTAAAAAAATCATCTTTTTGAGAACTTAGAGCTTGAAATATTATTAACTCCATTTATGGAAATATCTAATTGTGTATTTTCCTCTCAGAAAGAGCCATGTATCAAAACAGCCTAAGACATCAATGCAATATATCCTCTGGGCAGCTGCAGAGCAGTTGGATTATGCAAGCTATTACCATTTGTAATTCGTTTATTCATAAACCACCCCACACTAATCATATTGATGGAACAATACTCATTGCAAGTCTTATGAAATGAGTATTTGAACTGCACTTCTTAGGTACAGAACAGAGGACTCAGATCTCCTACTACTCAAATCCCCTTCTGTAAAGTTTTCCTGCAAATTTGTAAGCTTACACAAAAACTCACATGCACTGATAGTGCAAAACACTCTTGATTTTGAGCATTTCTTTGAATTTAAACGTTCTGTTTACTTACTACAAATAACTGAGGCTTAGAATGGAAGATACTGAAATATTTCCGCTTATTGTTTCTCATCACTGCAGATCTGGAAGACTTCCTCAACTGGCACTCTAGAAACAAACCTAGCAAACAATGCCTTCTGTGCTGAGGATATGAAATTCATTGCTATTTGTTTGAAGATGTTTACTATAGATGACCCCTAATCTAAGTCCTACAGACTAAATGTTCCTTCATGGTGCTAATGTATCTTCTGGCTTAGTTTCAAAAACATCCTGGTTTGTGTGTTCCAACAGTGCCCTCCAACAGAATCCAAAACTTAGCAAGTGGATAAAACTCCAGATGCTGGGGGTTTTAGTCAAACTTCAATACAGAAGCAGGTTCAGTCCCCAGTTTCTCTGTTTGAATGGATCAGAATTACATGCTTGCTGCATGATACCAATATAGTGGGATACACATGACACATTAGACTGGAATTTCAGAAACCACATCTTATACAGAAGCAAGAATCTGAGAGACACAAATTGATAGATCACATAATGGAAACCTTGTCATTTTGGAAACCTTGTTATTTTCTAAACAGTAAAATTGCCCTACTTACAAAAGATTTCAAAGCCAATTTAACAGCACAAAAAATGTTGTACTTCTCAGTACAGAAAGTAAGAAATGTTTCTTCGAAATACCATATTTTATAAATTTAATTTCTGATCTAAATAAGTCTCTGGCTCAAGAAGAGTGGAAAAATGATGGGAAATAGTTGGGCTTCAGTTCTGTTTTCAGTCCATCTTCCCCCCACGCATCCCCTCCCTTTCAGCCTCCTCTGATGTTCAATATGGTTTGTCTAAGAAAACACCAGGTGGGTATGGCAGAGGGGACTGGACGCTTGCACAATTAATGCATTCCAGAGATGGGTAAGCACATCAGCCTGCTAAAGGGTATGAAGTGCTGCTGGAGACTGGAACAACTGGGCAAACTGGTCTCCTGAGGTTGCAGGTAATTCCAGTAAAGGAAATTCTAATTACAGTTGAAAAGGAAATTCCAATTAAAAAAATAATTCGTTCCCCACTGGAAGAATTGAACACTGCAACAACAGGGAGGCGGACACCTCCACCAAAAAGTTCAAATGAAAGCCTGTACCAATCTAATCAAATTGGATCTGTTTTCAGCAGGGAACTGATGCAAGTTAGCAGATCTTTCCAAACTAAATTTCTCTGTAGCTTTAGTACTGTAACAATTTGTATTAACAGAAATAAATTAAAAAAAAAATAAACAGCAAAGGTTGAAGTTCTTAGTGAGTCATGGACACACACTGCAAACTGCAAAAGCTCCACAGCTGAACAGAGACAAGTGTCCTACATACTCTCGTTCTTGCTGCACTGTTTGCCATGGCCTGATCAGATTTTCATAGCCTGCTTGAGTCAGGCTAGAGCAAACACCTCTTGGGTGATAATAAGAGGTTGGAGATAGGGTAGAGAGAGTAAAATCTTCAAAGCAGCAGTCAGATCCACAGGACATAGGCTAGATCTTTGCCCTCTGTCACACTACAAACCCGCAGGCTCTCTGTATATGCTTCCCTTTTTCCATTAAGGGGGAAGACAGGTTACTTCATGGGCCAATGCCAGGCTGCAGCCTCTGGAAGAGACCTCCAGTCTGGGCTTCACCAAAGCTTGAGGAAAACATGAAAGGTGTATTGTCAGACTTGTGATATTACTGAACAGACTGTCAGATGGCTAAAATTATTCACTTATCACTCCTTTGAAGGTAGAAACTGGAATCATCACAGCAATCAACTCAACAGTCTTGCAGAACTAAAAAACAGTGGAAGCAAATCTACATGGTATCTGGCTCAAAGGGATAGTATTCATCTCACACTGCAGCTACTAGAAAATTAACTACTCAGTTAATTAGCTAGTCAGTTATTATAGCTTTTCTTTTAACTTCTTTAATCTCAAAAAAGCAACACATATCTTGTTCAATCACTCTCAGTTGTCTAACCCTTTTCATTCACTAGAAAAGCTAAGTGAAATTGCTATGGTCAGGTGACAATCAAACCTAGAATGAAAAAATGCAAAGAACCAATGCAATTAGAAAAGAAAAAAGAAAAATAATATTTTATTATGATTTCCATTCACTACAGCCTTCAATCTCAACATCTTTTGGTGGCAGCTTGATTATTTTAACTTTCAAAAGTAACACTGGACTAGTTAACTACTCAGGAAAAACAACAGAAGAAAACAAACACAGTGATCAACAGAGAAAAATAACTGGCTTTTTATTAGCACTTCAGCAATTATCTAGTGTTCCACGGTAAAGCACATGTTAAAGAGAACCGTGGTACTACTTACCCAAAGTAACAGAATGGGGTTTTTCTCCAAGTACAAATGAAAAAGTGTTCCCCCTCCCCCATTTGCTATTTTTTAAAGAAAAGCTAGATCTTTTATTATCTATCTATGAACAGAGACATGATGCATACTGCAGCTGGATACTTGAAGTTTGACAAGACAAAAATTAATGCTTTAGCATGTTAGATCCCTTCAAATCCCCTTTTTTTCTTTTGCTTAGATAGGAGGGATATGGAGAATTAATCCTTTGTCTTCCCTCTTCTCCAATTTCCCTCCTATTTTTTATAGACCTGAAGGAAAAGTTGAATACAATGAAATTGAGAAGCCATACGTGCTACATTCAAATATAGCTGTCACAGTGTTTTAAATTAAAATTCAATTACAAGCCTTTTCCTGCAGTATACAACATAGTGCTTGCATGAAAAATTTTGTCAAATCATAGAAAAGAGATCTGCAAAAATGACAGATCTCCTATATATTGTTACATTTTTAATGTATTACCTGTTCAAAATCTGTGTTTTAAGTGATCTTCACATAAAAACAGAGGTAGCCAAGAAGAAATGCTGTATTTTATATGAGGTCTCTATGCATGGTGTAATAAAAAAATGTTTGTTCTCTCGACCAAGATGGATTAATTTCAAGACTTTCTTCGTAATAGTTTGTCTTCTCTAACACAAAGACAGTGATTTCTTTTTTGCCTTTTCACCATGGACAGTTGCTATATCATTATGGAAATATGACAAATTCATGTTATTAGGCAAATATTTGAATTTCAGTCAAGGATACTTACTAGAATAAAAATGAAACAGCAATCTATGTCATAATTTAAATTTGCTGGACTTATTATAGAAATTAAACAGTGCTTTTAACTAAATTAGCGAAAAGTCAATCAAAGCACTGGATTTTGAGTTTAATATGTTTCTGTGCTGTCCAAACAATAGCTTATTTATTTAGAAAAAAATTCCAATGAACTTCAGCATCTTAAATATAGAAGCACAGAACAGCTTGGACTGTAAGGGACCTTAAAGACCATCCACGTGCAATTGGAACCCCATGGGCAGGGAACCTTCTGCTAGATCAGGTTGCTCAGAGCCCCATACAGCCTTGGCAATTCCAGGGATGGGGAATCCACAGCTTCTCTGGGAACCTGTTCCACTGCCTCATTACTCCCACAGCAAAGAATTTCTTAACATCTAGTCTAAACCCATCCTCTGTTAGTGTGAATCCATTCCCCTCTGTCCTGTCACTACATGCCCATGTGAAAAGTCCTTCTCCCGCCCTCTTTGGGGTCCCCTTTAGGTACTGGAAAGTGCTACAACGTGTCACCCATGCCTTCTCTGCTCCCTGCTGAGCAGTCCCAGCTCTCTCAGCCTGTGCACACAGGAGAGCTGCTCAGGGCCTGTGATCAGCTTAGTGGCCTCCTCTGCATTTGTTCCAACAGGTCAACATCTTTCTTGTGTTGGGGGCCCCAGAGCTGAAGACAGCATTCCAGGTGGGATCTCACAAGAGCAGAATAGAGAGTGAGAATTCAAATGTGTTTTTTTCAGCATCACAAGAATATTAATTAAGAAAGCATCACTAAGCATCACTACTACTAAAGTAGTAAGTACAATTAAAAGCTAAGTGAACAAACTGAAACACTGTGGTCCAAATTCTGTGAACAGATAGGTATGCAAGACATTCTGCCTGTGCAGAACTGGACCATATTTTTTCTCAGACACTTAAAAAGGCAACAACTGGAAATGATGGACAATTTAGCAGCTGCTTAAAATAGGTAAGCAGTGCAAGTAAATGTACATTTCCTTGTCAGACTTGAAGATTACTTGGCAAGTGCCTGATATCCTGTGTTTCATTTAACATAAGTGTGCACCATAAAAAGTGGAACCGCATTTTAAAGTAAAGTAACTTTCCTAAAATGTTCCTGATTCACAGCATCCATACAATCCCCAAAAGAAAAAGAACATTATGCTTAGATCTCAAATCATGTACACATCTAGTTCAGAGAATGTCCTGAGTTTGAAGGGACATGCAGGGATTTTCTTCTGCTTGCATCTGTTTTAAATTTATTTTTAAGTTTTGATGAAATCAAAAGTTGCATTGTCCATACCAGCCAAAAAACAGCTTTGATGATAAGACTGAATACAGTTTTGGCACAGTATTTTTTAGTGAATTTCCATGACAGAAGTACAGACAGTAAGGAGAAGGAAGTCAGTAACTATTTAAAGATGGCCATGAGTTATTAGTTTCTTCTTGTAACAGCTCAATGTTGACCTTAAAAAAAACCATTTTTATTCTCTTATGCATTGTCTCGTTGGAGATTTAGTTTGAAGGGCTAATCTGCCCATCTTTTTATAAAAGTCTATATCCCCTGACTGAACTACATCTCCTAGGAGTCAATGCAGTCTTCCCTAAAAGCCAGCTGCCTTAGGACATTGAGAGATGCTTCCACCTCTCATTTTCTGTGACTTCTGTGACAAAACTGTAGTCGGCAATATGAGCAGAATATAAATCAGTATTTAGCTTTGGTATGATTCCCTGACTTTGGCCTGCAGGGCATCACAGGTCTTTTTAGCATCTCCCAACAACATGGCAGTATTGGGCTTGTAGAAGATGGGATTGTCCACCGCTGCATAACCAACTCCCAGAGATCTCTTCATTACAATGACCTGCACATAAAGAGTTCATGTTTGAAACAGCAAAGCACAGCCACCACCCTTCCACAAACAAAGGCAACACAAAACCAACAAATAAAGAGAAACCTCTGACCAAAACAGGGTGCTCACTGCTATGAAAATGTATTTCAAATTTTAATATAGAAGACGAACTGATATCCAGACCAATTTCAGAAACATTTTCTTGTTAAAAACAATGTTATATTTCAGATTAAGAGATTGTGGACATTGCACATGCATTTACTTTATTCCATGTAATAAAGTCAAAGCATGGCATGTCCACTGATGACCATGACATTGAAGGGTTTTGAAACTTTAATTTTGAAGTGTTGAATTCCCTGATAGCAACAAAATTCAGATAAGTGTCCACACCAATACTTGGTGCAACAGTGTCTTTACTATTCATCTGTATTACTTCATACATAGGACATAAAAAAATTAGCCAGTTTTACCTATTGAGTGTATAATTAGTTAACCATGGCATCTTTAGCAGAGAAACTGAGAAACTTTATCTTAACTGTGTCCATTTTTATTTCTCAAATTGCAATACATAGCACACACTGCTATATCAAATTGCAATATCAGCACACACTGCTAATAAATGTATATGCCTGAGAACTTGAATGGATAACCCACAGAACAACTGAGGCCAGGACTTCATTCAGAACAAAGTATCAAAGATTTCACACCAAAGAAACACAAGTATATGTACTTTAGATCAGAGCAAAACTGTTAAGGTAACTACCCTGTTGGTTCAATTTGGATAGTGTAAGTGCTCTACTTGTCTCAGCCATGCATTTTTTAGGGGTTTTGTTTGGTTTTTTTGGAGGGATGTTTGTTGGTTTTTAATTACTATTTATTATTTTATTTAAGCATACTATTAATTCTTGTATTTCTACCTCAGTATTAAAGTTGTGAACTATAAACTTAACAAAACAGCAATTAGTACAGAAATGTTTCAGGGCTGTGAATGTAAGCAGACCACCATTTATTCTAATCACATTCTAGTAGAAGCAGCCTAACTGATCTTTTCTATTGCAGTCATCATTGGTCTCACTAAAGCACTTGATGATGATTCTAAAATCATGAAAAGTGCATCACACTTGCAAAGCACTGACCATTTTATTGGACAACCTGAAGAAAAGCTTCTTGTGGAAACCAGAATAGTGGAAGAATCCTGTTAGCTTATCCTACAAACCATGTTTTTAAAAGCTTGGTAAAGGTAGGTGATAATTCAACCCCATTAATCTCACCTGTTTGGACTTCCAGACCTCAAGAACTGGCATTCCAGCTATGATAGAGTTCGGATCTTCCTGAGCTGCTGAATTAACTGTATCATTTGCACCAATTACAAGGACCAAGTCAGTCTCTGCAGCAAGACAAAGAAAATAACACTGATGAAAAATTATCTGAAATTGAAACATTGAGGCTGATGCACATTCTAGGCAGATCCTAGAATTCTAGACCCCTAATGGTTAAGCATGCTCACAAGTATTTTACAAACTTCCCAAGCAAATTATATGTGAGAGTTCAAATGTGCTGCCAGCTACCTCTAACAAACTACACACATTCACAATCCAATTCAACCCTGCCACAAAAAATTTAGAACCTTTTTATATTTAAATGTGGTTGAATACACACATCACTTCCAAATTTTTTTGTGCCTGGCTTTTCTTTTGAATATTCTTCTGAAAAACCTTTAGCAGCAAACTTCTGCCTTTTAAATAAAAATGTAAAAAAGCAAGAAGTTGCCAGTACAATGCTGTACATGACAGGGTCAAGTCATCCACAATAACTGACCCAAAGAAGTAATAATAATTTTCCTCTGCAAGGACAGGGCAGTAAGAGATAAGGATACAGCATTTGCCATTTACTTCACAACTACAAGAAATTAAAAAAAAGCTCCCCCTACCTACCACCCCCACAAAAAGACCTCTAGTTCTCTACAAAGAGAAACTGAATGGCTTGACTTCTTGACTTTCTATTGTTAAAATCCCTGTGCAGTGCAAAAACAGAATCAAATCAATCATCTAATCTAGTGGAAGCTTATGGCTCATGTGCTAACCTGGGAAGTCTTCATTGATTTCATCCATTTCCAGTACAATATCATAGGGAACACCAGCTTCTGCTAGCAGTACGTTCAGCTGACCAGGCATACGGCCAGCCACAGGGTGAATACCAAACCTAAAAGGGAAGAAACTCCATTAATAAGTTTGGACTACTGTGTTTTATACATTAAAACTGTCACCTGTGACTTAGAAGGCTGAGAAGTTCTTAAGTATAAGCACAAATGGAAATTAATGAAAAGAATCTGTTAAAATTTAACAGTTCACCTTCCAAGCAGTACTGTATTTCAAACCTTGTGACAGATTCTTTTGGACTTTTAACAAACGATCCTTTTAACTCCAAAACTACCATCCACATTAATATGTTTTTCAGGTCCTTTACATGACTGAAAACACCACAGTGTTTAAATAAAATTGCCATGAGAAAGACAAGAGACCATGCCACCTTTCAGAAGCAAAACTACTCCTAAACCTAGAGATGCCCTTAACAAATGACTTTATTGACTCAGATATGTCTAGAGTATGTACAAGAAACACTTGTACGAACACTTTCAATCCAACAGAAAAATTAACAGCACAAGACTTCAAGCACAAGAGAATGTCTAGCTGAATTAGGTTAACATGCCACTTTCTTCTCCAGATTGACCTTAGGAGGAAATGAAAAGAGGACCAAAAAAAGGATGGGGAGTGAAAAGGTAAAGAGCTAAGAAACAAACAGTTTAAGCATAAACATTTTTAAAATGTTTTCAGAACAGCTCAAAAACAACTTAGAGAAAATACACTGCTCATGAGTTACTAAAGCTTCAGACAGACCAACAGACCTGGGGTGCTCAGGCATGTATGCAGCTCCCTAAGATTACAAACCCGAAAAAGCCAGAATGGAGATGTTAAACTGGTTTAGCTGCAAATCAAAGACGTATTTCGTTAGAAGCAAATCTGTTTCCTGTTGTTACTCTTCTGATCATCTACTGGCCCTTACAAGCAAGGAATATCCATGCCTACTGTCATGTGCACTTTCTGTCTTTCCATCTCCAAAGCTATCACCAGATGGAATACTGACTCATGCACACCAGAAGTGCCTCAGATTAAGATTGTATGGGGCTGAAGATAATGTTTAATTCAGAAGTCTACAGATACTTTGGAAGAGAAGGAAAATAGTCAAATAAAAGCTTGGATTTTTGAATTATTGGATTTTGGAAGAGAAACTTCTGAACAGAAATCCAGGTAAGTCAGGAATTAAATGAAAGTAATTCAGAATTCTTCAGAAAGGAGAGAATTACTAATAAATCAATTTGCCATGACAGATAGATTGTCATATACTTCTATTTTCAACTCCACTGCAATGGGAATGACTGACGGACCACGAGTGACAGTCCAATCAACCCAGATCACTTGTGAATTAAAGACTGAACAAATACATCCTTAAATGGGCAACTGAGCACTCCATCATCAAGGCAACATTAATACAATAAAATACAAGACAATTGGAACTCCAGCAACAAAATTAAGGACATATGATTAATCCACATAATACTAGATATAATACAGCTTTAAGCTCTAGGTCAAAGAGTAGGATAAAAGCTAGTTTTAGAAGGAATGCTTTTAAAGAAGAACGGGAATAGATTGTATTCAACTAGTAAACATTTGGAACCCTGTTGCAAAGGCTAATACCTAGAATCAGAAGGAGAGTAAACATACAGCACAAATTACTAACAGCTTATGTTTCACACCACTCACTCAGTAACACAAGCCATGTGTAGTACTGCAGATAGATCTTAAATATACCAAATTTGATCACTAACAGTACAGTAGGAGAACTCTTATTCTGAAGTACCCTTGAGAAAACTCATCACTCGTCTGGCAGTGAAAATAGATTTTCCAACAAAATTCTTTTTTGTGTCTAATAAAATTATTTGAGTGCCTTTGTGACCAAAGCTGCTTTGGCAATACACAAAACAAAACACTCGTGAGGTTTCTATTAAGTACTATATACACATACAATCTTATTTCAAGGGCTGGAAAGCCAAAATTTAAGCTGCCAAGAGAATGAATTTCACCTTTGACTTCGCCATTCCTGGCAAGAGGCAAGGAAAGAAGAAAAGAAAGGGCAAATTATCTTCATACAGGAAGAGTTATGGCATGAACCATCAGTAGTTAGAGACTTCTGACAGACTCTGCTTGAAACCACATACTGTGTATTCAAAAAGTTTGAGAAAGCTGCTCATACAAAAGCTTTTTTGGACAAATATTGAAGTGACTCCCAAAAGTCTGCTTGTAAGAGTCTGTTAACCAAATATGACAGTAGTCTGCCAGTACTACTCAAAATTGGATGTGCAGGAATGTAAAAAAAGAGAAATTTAAAATTATAGCTTCTCTAAGACGCTCACAATGTCACAAGGTAACACTTAGACACTTCTGGATTGAAATCAGCCTATCCAATAGAAAGCAGGATTCAGAATTCAGGTAACCATGCAAAATAGATACTAAAAATCCTTGATGGCTCCTAATAAGTCTAATAAAAGCAGCAATCTTGTCTCCAACTCACAACAGCAGCAGCTCTTCAAAGTTACGTGCATTTCAGCAGGAACATTTTGTTACATATGCTGTCTCAGATGTTCATAACATGAACCTCATTCATATTCAAAAATTTAACACAAATTATTTTAAAAGGGAAACATGTTTTATGGCAAAAGTGCTTTCAAGTGAAAAATTGTGAAGTTTCTTTGATACTCTTTTGTCATCAGTAATGCAGGAACTCCCTTAAATTGGTCGGTTTGTTTAAAAATCAAGAAGAAATCTTAAACCACAACACATAGTTGTGTATGACTTGAAGCATTATTCTAGTATTTCACTGAAACACAGAATTCAACAAGAATTTTTTCTTTTGACCTTGAAAACATAATGTGGGGCTTGCTTACCACCAACAATTGTCAAATACTGAAGTAAGTGTACATCACCTTGCTACTTAGACTTCACAGGTAAACAGCTTGAGGCAAGGATATTCAACTCTTTTAACCAGCCTCTACTGAATACCTTTTAGATTTATAGTTTTATAACGACAACACAGTGCACAAGTTTATGTTTTGAACTTTTTTAAGTAATACAAAAAGTGCAGCATTTTATTTTAAATATAGGCTAAACATCTAAAACATATGACATACACATATCTAGCACTTTCAGCACAGAAAACTGCATTTGGAGTTGAGGGGGATAGAAAGGACTGAACGTGGCTGAAGTAGTATGAACTCAGCAATATCAAAAAGACAGCTATAGCATGAAAAATGATTGAAAAATCTCAAAATATAAATTACTTTTCATACAGCTTATAAAGTCAGTATCTATCTTTATTACAGCTGGCTAGATAACATTCTTGTAATCAAAAGTGAAAGAGCTGGCTCACAATAGCAGCACCTAACTCAGTACAGAAGTGTTTCAAGATCACTTCATCAATGTGAAGATAGGGTTCCAGTCATTATACCAGAGCTGGGCAGAGCAAAGTAACATCTGCCTGGTGCCTAAGTGAGCTTACTCAACAATTTAAATGTCATATTTGCCCAAGGGTTTGGCTTCACTTACAGGTTCTCACATCTCATTCACTTTATTTAGACACCTCTCTGCAGCTCTGTTTTCAGTAAAAACAAGAATCCATCACTCTAGGTAACGGGAAGGGAAAAAAAGCCACCAACAAACTATATGAACAGAGAAGTACGTCATTCAAGTATTCCACATCTTGAATCCTGCCATGTAACAGTTGCAGTGCAGCATGACTTAGAGTATAATGTTTATCATAGGTATGGACAACTGTAAGTTACAAGCTAGCCCAGCTAGCTTAGACTTACTGTCATGCTGAAGGCCCCCAAAACCAGTCCTATGGCATGGATCCAGCTTGGTGGCTCTGCTGCAGTCAAGCCAGTTACACTTAAATTAAGTTAGACAGCTAAATTACACATACTTAAGTAAGGGCTCGTACTGGCTCCCTATTTCCAACCACTATAGCTTATGACAGCAGGGGCAAGATGCAGATGGATCTTAGCTCTGCGCAATAGCCTTCCCAAGAACCCAACTACAGGCAAAAAACAAGACCCTGCTTCCACAACCACAAAGCATCATATACTGACCTAGTAAGGTCATCCAGAGGCGAGCTGACACATATGGAACAAACAGCCCATCTACAATACTCCCCCAGGAAAACACAGTTACAGCTGCATCCTTGCAGAAGCGATCAGGCACTGCATGGCTCGCAAGTTCTAACTACAGCAATAAAGCACTGGAGCTAAACAGACCTGTTGGACTTCAGCTGTCCCTTCATGTGCAGCATTAATAATTCAGAACCCACACACCAAAGTTTTACAACAAACCAAGAACTGACACACAGGTACAGTTTCTGTTTTCATGCTGTGTATAATAACTCAGCTTCCCAGAAACCTGCACCAGTACACACTGTCCTTATGCTTCCTCTCATCAGTGACAATAATTTCCATCTTGCACGTGAGCTACACAGTGTGTTAAGGCTGCTTGGGACAGCATCTTAACTGCTCATCCTTTAAAATTCTTCTAGATTTTCTTGTAGAGCCACAACAGATGATGGTTTTAAATTAATACCATAAATAGTTTTAGGTAATCAGGCTTATTTATTAATTTGCAGATAAATGTGTAACTGATACTCACACACATGTTCTATTACCTACAAGAAATTAAAGGGTGGAGAAAAAGATCAGAACACTAAACACATCTGATTAGAGTTCAACCACTGACATATCAATAAGAAAAACTTTAAAACACAGGTACAACATTAAATCAATACTACCATATTTTCAAAAATGTAGAAAACTCTTGTTTTCATGTTGTTCAAAAGTAATTACATTCTCCATCATCAAAAGACAGAAATCCAAGTCCTTCAAGATATCTACCTTTAAAAAGGTAAAAAAACCCCAAACCAGCACACTAACTTCCTAGCAACTATTTTGAAAAGCTGTTAAAGAGGCCATGTGCATGTCCCTAAACTATGAATTCCCAGAAAATCAACTTATTAACTATGTAATTATTTAGAAAGTCTGCATGAAGCATAATTTTAGGAGTCCTTCCATACCAAAATGAATTTTTCTTATCAATAACATCTTGCAGGAGAACAAAACACATTGACAGAAAATGTCTCAAGAAAGTTATACTGTGGTAAAAACTAGGACAATTACCTGGATGTGGATATGGAGAGCATCAACAACCCTTGCATATACGAGAACATACAGTTTTAGACTGTAATTATGTTTTTATATACAAAATTACTACAGAACATAGTTTTATTATATTGGAAAAATCAGAATTTCACAACCAGAGTTCTACAAACAACGTTATATGTGAACTTCAACATTACTGATGAACTTCAGTAAGGCAAGAACTTTCAACAATTTACTTACTTCTAACTTTGCAGAAATACAACACCAGTTGTAGAACAGCCATTTCCTCTCCAAGGCCAATAGATTCAGGGGGCTATGGGATTTAGCCTATAAAAAGTTTTGTTGTTTATCCATCCATGACAAGGGAAAGCTATACTCAAGGCTCAGTAATATCCAGCTTTCTCTGTGACTTTACTAATGCATTAAAGATGTGATCTGCTGCAAAACCATCTCAAGTGAGCAATGATGTTAGCTATGCAACTGAGTAACTAAAACAGTCTAAAGTTTCCAAAATCTCTCCTGTATTTCTAAATTTAAATCCTAGTCAAAGGTTACGCATCATGTTATATAATCTGCGGTCTTCAATGAGAATGTTATGGCTATAGGCAAAGCAAATTAAAACAACAGCTTCTCTGGATCAGTGGTGAGCCATGAAACAAAAAACCAGACCATATGACAGTCGCAATTTTTCTTGGCACACGATGGGCATTACAGACTGATGCAATCCTGTGTCCATGCTGGCAGCCCTCCACAGCGTGTGTGTGTGAGAGTGTCACTACATCTGGATGGTGAGTGCATTAGGGTCCCGAGGCACTCCAGGCCTACTGAAACCAGAGGACAACAGCTGCACTCAATGAACACCATGGGAGCTCAGCAAAGTGATGAAAGGCCTGAATTACCACAAACTGTAAATACAGATTTATTTCATTAAAATACTAGGTAACCACTGCAGCGATCCCTTCCTGAAATTGATTCATTTTAAGTATAAGCCATTTATTTCAAGGATTCGTTCACTTTTCTCCCCTGCAAAGCCAACATAAAAGGCAAAACCAATTTTTTTCTTTTTTTTTATTTCACCAAGGTTGGTCAAAAAAGAGCTAACCCCCCAGAAGCACTAAAAGGAAAGCCAGAAGTGTACAAGACTGTCATCGCATTAGCCATGAAAGGGTTTTTTTGTTGCACAACTAAGGTGCCCTCAAATGCGATCTGGACACAAACAGAGCTGTTGCTAAACATGGAGAATCTAGGTGTGAAGACTGCTCCAGGAAGCAAATACACCACCACAAATCCTCATTTCTCATGTATGCCCAAACAAATACATCCATAAAGCAATTTTATATGCAAAATTGCAAAATCCTGGTTAAACACTAACAAGTCATTGCTGCTAAACCCTAGAACTCTACTGTTACCCAACACAATGCTGTAATATGCTGCAAAAGCTTACAGACAACTTTTTAATAAGGTTGGAAAAGTAGTGGAAGAAGAAAAACAAAACCAAAAAACTCTAATTACTAGAGGAACGATTCCAAAGGGAAGTCACCATCTAATTGAAATAAACATATGGAAATCAGAGAATGAGTCTGGCTAACCAGCATCTGCCAAAATACATTGTTTGAAATGAAAACTGAGCCTCAATTGATTTTAAAATATTAAGTTATCATAAATAGAAAACAAGCAAAATTTCAAACAATCAGCAAGATAGACATAATGTTTGCTTTCCAGTACTTTGAGAATCTATAAGGTCTACAGAAAAACTGAAGGAGGAAAGGACTTGAGGCCAATACTGGAAACCTAAGAATTATCTCTGTTTTTTGGAATAGCACTCCAGCAGAATAAATTCATGCAACTGGAGACATGCACTCCCATAATCCTTTCATGAGATGCTCAACAAACTCTAATAGCAGTCTTGTCTGCAACAGCAAAATCTTACAGGAGCCCCATAAGTGTAGGAGTCCTATAAGTTGCTTAATGGTTAGGACTATCTGCCATAAGAGGAGAGGCTGAAATCTGGGATTCTTCTGCCTGCAGAAGAGAAGGTCAAGGGAATCTTATCGCTGTATATAAATATAGATGAAGGGCATCTATATTAAAAAAAGATAGAGCCAAATTCTTCTCAGGGATATCCAGGGAACGGGCAAGAGGCAACAGCTGCAAATTGCAACACAGAAAAAACTGGTTTTACCCTAAGGATGACTAAACATTGTAAGAAACTGCCCAAAAGAGGTTGTCAGTCTCCATCAAGATATTCAAAATCCAATTGGACAAGATTCCAGGCAACTTCTCGAGTTGATCCTGGTCTGAGCAAGGGGGCTGGATGAACTAGATAATCTTCAGAGGTGTCTTTAACTTTGCTATTCTGTGCCTCTGTCAAAGCTGAAAAAAACGTTAAACCAAAACTAGCGGTTTTAATGGAATGAAAGAAAACAAAACAAACCACCTGTAATACTTCTCATCAAGAAAAGCACTTACCTAACGTTTTTCCCTTGTTCTCTCAACATCTTCACCAGATCAGCTATTGGGTACTGAGCTTTTGCTGCACACAAGCCATAACCTGAAAGAATTCCAAAATTTTAACATATTTTCCTGTTTTAGTGCAGAAAGACCAGTTGCAGACAATAAGCGCACCGTCCACACACAGAGATGTTCTCATAATTAAAAATAATGAAAGAAATTTAAAAAACACACATCAGATTCTCCTACATTCCCAGCCTGACCACTGTAATTAATCTCTTTTTTGATCTCCTGACCACTTACAGTGATTTGACCAGTCAAACTACAAAAGCCCTTATTTCACCTTCACAAAAAGACATGTTCCTTTCTATATCAGAAAAGGATGTTTCAGACAGGTATTTTGAAAAATTGATAAAAGGGTGACTGTCAGGTTACTTCACAACCATTATCCTCAACAGAATTTCAATCTGCTTAATGCAAATCTAGTAGCTAGATATGGCTTTTAGCAGCAAATAATGTTTTCAGTCTCTCTGAGCTAATTCATCAGAGCAACCATGTCCAAGATAAAAATAAAAAACATTTATTATTAATGGTGTGCTCCAGGTTTGACCACAGGAGAAAGAGGCAAACTCCTTCAAGACGATTGCAAGCTTCATCAGAAAAAAAGGTAGCTTACCAAATTAGAACCCTACCTCACTGATGGTCTCTTTAAATTTGAAGCAAAATGAAAGATAACTTTGTATTTTAGCATTCTTCACATTCCAGCGCTAAAATAAGTTTAACATGATAGTCATGCCATTTAGTTGAAGGAGAAGTCTTAAACTGTCCCCTATCTGAGTTTTCCTTTCAGGGAACGTACTACTAAATGATGTGAACAGCCAACATAATCATTTCAGACAATTCAGGTTTTGGTTTTCAGGTTGGGTTTTTTTACTTTAATTATAGTATTTATATTTACTACATTTTGGATGGGGGTTTTTGGCCTTTCTTTTTCATAAACAAATGCAGAATTGAACAAGTACATGAGAAGTGTAAACAAAATCCTGTCTTTCAGGATTTAACAGATCTGTCGGTACAATTGGTACCACTGGTACTGTAGTTGTGCTTGGAATTCAGTTAATTTTGTGTACAGCTGTTATGGTGTAAGCTTAATTTACAAAAGATAGTCTTTGTTCTGAAGAATTTAAAATGCAAATAAAAAGGACAAACTTTGAGGACACATACACAAAGAAAAATGAAGTGGCCCACATCTCTGCACAGGGGAATGATATCTGACCAGGGAACAAAAACAAATCACATGGGCCCAGTCAACATTTGATATGCTGCTGCCATACTGCAACCTCTTTGCTGCTACCTTTTTTTGGTTTGTTTTGTGTTTTTGTTTGGTTGGGATATTTTTTTTTAAATCACATCTTCTGAACATCTTGTTGTATAAGTCAAGAGAGTCTTACCTGGAGTAATAATAATGCTATTAGCTTCTTTTATCATTTCAACTGCATTGTCCAAATTGATTTCTGTGTGAGTTCCAGTAATTTCCATGGGTTTCCCACCAGCTGTTGATGCAGTGCCATAGCCCCCAAGAATCACATTTGCAAGGGAACGGTTCATAGCCTAAAAGATAGGATGGTTTTGTCATATAAAGATGAAATCCAAATATAAAGGTGAGACTCCACAAAGAAAACTTCTGAAAAAGACTTCTGAAAATATTAAAGACTTCCTGACAATAGTCTTTATAAGCTGGTTTTGCCTTCTTATAATCCAAAGACTCTTAAAACAGGGTCTTTAAAACAGTTTACCATGGCCATCACCAAACATCAGCTTTGAACACATTACATTACACACATAGTGGGAGAGCACCAATATTTCTCAAAAACAAAGAACAAAACTATGCAAATAGCAAATATTGGTCTCTTTTTGTTCTTAAAAGGGAAGAATATGAAAGAATGCATGTTTGATGACAGAGTTTCTAAAAATTTTTTTACATTGGTATATACACACACACATTTTTCCAAGATATTTTCCATAGTTTTTAACCAATTTAACATGTAAGCACAGCACTGCTCCATGACAGCATGGAATCCACAAAACTCTTACAGGTAGTACTGAAGCAAAACTGCTACAGCAACAAAACAGGAAAACACAAAAGCAGCTAATCAGTCGCACTGAACCAGCCACATTGTAAAGAACTGAAGGGGGCCATTGACTTACTGGCTGACCACCAAAGGAAAACAAGAGATTTTAACTAGAATGTTTAAGAGAAGAACACACCCTGAAAATCTGGCTCCATTAGACACATAGCCAGGAAAAGCCATTGGCTAAATGCTTTCTTTGGCATGCCTGCTTGTGACTGTGGTCCCAAAGCAATATCTGTCAATAACTAGAAATAGGAAAAACTTGTAACTGCAGGCGAGAAAAAACTTTAGAAGCAGGAAAGGAAGAGGATAAAATGCTTCTTTAATTACACATATGAGTCATACATCTTCTGTACTAGCTGAGAAGCCACGACAAAATTTAGGAATGGATCTGGAGAGTCACAAATATAAGTAGGAGGAAGCACAAAATTGTGCTTCCAGATGTCCATTCTCCACTGACATTTCAAATCATGCAGCTTCACAGTTTTTTTACTATAGTCTCAGAAGATGTGCCATTCTTTGAAATTTATTATCTAGCAAATAAGTAAAATGATGATGTTAGAACTTCTGTTTTTCCTGAGAAGTCCTCACTGTTTCAGATACTGTAAGGGATGCACACAAACATGGTGACATCAATATTTTTCACTGTCTGCAGCACACACTATTTCACATACCCTGAGAACGCACTGCCTTTGGCATCTATCTCAACATTTTAGCAGTTGTGTCAGGTAAGACAGCCTAGACAGAAGAATACCCTCTGCAGATGTTGCACATGCCAAGCTTACAGGGAGGAGAGCACTTCCTACACATATCTAAACCAAAAGACAACAGTTAGACCAAGTCAAAGGGGGAAAAAAAAAGAAGATAAAATATTACTAGAAATCTGAGAAACAGCTAAAAGCAAGCATAAGATTGAAGTACCCTTGCCTGGCTCCACTGCAAAGAGCCAAGAACTTCCAAGAGAAAATGCGGAAGGCAGAGAAGAGCCAAGACCTTATCAAGCAATCATTAACCAACATATCTGGGACAGTGTGAAAACTCTTCTGTAGCCTCTTCCACTTTCTTTACCACCACACACCACAAATATGGAGGTATAAAGTGCAAGCTTCATCACTCACTGATAATCCAACAAGTGGCAAAAAGCCCTCTATGCTGAGCACAGATAAATAACAACAATGGTCAGGAGTTTACAGTCCAGGGAAAATTAAATACCTGAATCCTGAGAACTGCAAGTGCTTCCACTGTGCCCACAGAAAGTTCACAGCTAGTATACACAGGAATGGTCAGCATAAAATTTGTAAGACTAACACAGTTTGTCCCCTCTCTTGCTCTGTTTCATCAACCCAGTTAATGGTTCCTCTTCAACCTTAAGTTTCTTCTGCATCCAATAATGAGTCTAATACCAGAATTGCAATCATCAAGTATTCCCTCTGGGTAAAAAAGGAGGGACAAGGACATGCTAACAATCAAGTGTTCTGAATAAAATGTATTGTGTTGGTGTCTTAAAAGAGTCACAATTCACAGGATAAGCAAACAGTACAGGCCTTTGCTTTTTGAAGTTAAATTCCCTGTCTTTAACTCAGTTATCAACTGAGGCTTTAAAACATTAGCTGGACTGACTTTGGATAATTAGGTAAGTGTCAATAAATATACTAGTTTTGACAGAAATCATACTAAAAAGTAGGGGGGAAAAACCAAACCAAATAAAAAACCAAAAAAACAAAAAAAAAATCCAAAAAACCAAACTAAACAAACAAAAAAAACCCACCCAAAAAACGAAAAAGCAAAAAAATAAAAAAAAAAAAAACCAAAAAAAGAAATTGACAAAAAAATCCCCCCCTAAAAAACCTAAAACCCACAGGAAAAAAAAAAAGGACAAAAAAAGGGGAAAGGGAAACTTTTGCTTCATTAGCACAGGTTGAAACACCAAGTGCAGAATTTATTGAAAGTCTTGAGCATTTCCTTCTCCTGAAATGCAGCTTCAAGACAATGATACTGAATCCCCTGATTATAACAATGCTTTCTAAAGTAATGATTTCCATTAAAGGAAGTATAGCAGAAAAGAAAAATTCTGGGCTAAGAGCATGTTATTCTGCTTACTGTGCAGAAATTATACAAAATAATTTTCATTTTACTGGTTGATAAACTTCAGTTGTCTAAGCTTATATAAAGCAGCACAAGATTTCTAGACACTACCTCAAAAACTAAACTTCCTGTAATCTGAGAAACATTGGGGAAAGCCACTCTGTCACTGCCTAACTATTTTGCTAACTACTCCCCCAGGCTTCCTATTTACCTAGGTTCCTCCAACCAACTCTATAAGTATTTCAAAACTCTCTTGTGAGTGCTAAGAGAGTGAGCAATATTAAGAAAGGAAAGAGACAGTAAAACAAAAATGAAGGTATAGATAGATTACTGGTAAACACACACCAAACAGTTCACATTTTCCCTGAAGTTTACAAGAATTTGATTCTTAAAAGAGTTTTTATACTTGTGTAATCCATAAGCACTATTTTTCCACTGATGTGGACTAAATTCCTGAATGTATACAACTAAATACATGAGCTACATAATTTGATTTCCTTTTCATAAGGAGACAGAAAATGCTCAAGAAGGAACAAGATTCTTTGCAATTCATACTTAGAATTGTTAATTTTAACTCACTTTCATGTAGTTTTACAAGAATACCTTTATGAGTTTTTCTGAAGTTTTTCCTCAAGAATGATGAAAAAGAATGATACTGAAACATTCCTAAAATGGTAACAATACTATTTATCAGTGGAGACGAAGTAAAAGATGATTGTCAGAGCTGACCAGAGGAAAACATCAGACAGGAGATCAGTGGCACTGATCACACAAGAGCACAGGGGCAGAAACAAAGCAGGATTACACAACAGAGAATGAGAAAGTTGGCAGCTGTGGCACTGCAAACTGTTCTCTTTAAACTATTACCTCTCCATCTTTGAATACAAGGCCTTTATACAAATGTTGCAGAGAAAAGGAGGTCATTACTAATAGCACAATACAACTCACACCGAGATGAAGCTCAAGCTTGCTGACACACAGCACTGAACTCGTGCAGGCCTGCTGCCACCCCGTGGTACTCCAAAGTAGCTGCTCTGAAGAAAAGGGCACACTTTTCTGCACTCCAAAAACCAAACTGTAAATCACTGCCTAACCAACGAACACACTTATTAAAGTAGCTCCTGCTACATATTAAATCTAGCTTAAATTTAACCACATTTCAGAAGCTGTATGACTGAAAAAAAATAGCTGACCACAAGTAATCATACTTTGAACCCAGATTCAAATCCTTAATGCTTAAGTCAATGCAAGGGCTTTCCTCAGTTTTGAGATATGTCTCTCACCAAATCAAAAAAAAATTACTGACATCTAGTCCAACAGTTTCAATCAAGAATTTTCTAGTCTGTAAACATCTAACAGTTTGAGATCCATTGGCTTATCTTCCTAAAAAACATGGTTAAAAAAGCTTTTTCATTACTCAGGAAACAAGCAGAGTTTCTATTGACTTCTTACCACACACATGATGTAAGAGAGGATGGCCCCAGAGGAGCCGATGAGCGCACCAACAATGGTGAGCAAGTTGTTGTTCAGGAGAAAGCCCTCAGCACACAAAGCCCATCCAGAGTAACTGTTCAGGACAGTAATAACTACAGGCATGTCAGCACCTCCAATAGCTGCTGTTAAAGTGACACCCTGGAGAAGGAAAGAAAATACTTCACGTCAGCAATCACTAAGGAGAACACTCAGAAAAGACACTCAGCCTGCAGCACCGAAAAATAAATATACAATCATAGAATGGTTTGTGTTGGAAGGGATCTTAAAGATCAGCCAGTCCCAACTGCCATGCCTTGGGCAGGGATATTACCCACTAAATCATGTTGGTTAGGGTCCCAACCAACCTGGCCTCAGGAATGGGGCATCCACAACCTTTCTAAGCAACTATCAAGTTACTTAGAGCCTATTCAAGTATTGTCAGTGTAGGTATTCAGGCTGAGAAGTGGACTCACCAAATCTGCCTTTTTAGAGAGGACAGGAAGGTACCCCACCATTTAATGCTCAGCTGAGTCACATTTTTTTACTTGCAAAATTATCCTACTAGCTCCATGGAACTGTTCATACCATTATGGCATTCATATTGAACAGTCTTGCAGGACTCAGTTTACAGAATGGCAATATTCAAGGTAAATTTTGCAACACTGGCGTACACTGGCATACTCTGGTGTAGGTGAATGGCAGAAGTTATACAAGGACATCATCTCAAGAGGTTATAATAATAATCTGTAAATCCAGAGCTCCTTTAGGTATTTTAGGGATTAGCTTTCTAAAAAGTCTTCTCTAACATCACTCTGTCGTATAAAAAGCTTCATTAATCAGCAGCTGCAAAAAGTAAGTATAAAAATGCATTCCAGTTCTCTGGAACACTTCTGGTTTACACCTAGATCTAGAAAAGTCAGTTGCTACTCATTACTGCAAGTTACCACACAGGCAGGCACCATGCTCACTGTGACTCAGGATGGCAAAATATAATGCATAAAGAGGAAACTTGCAGACTGGAGAATAAACTCCTTTTGTAACTTGTTTCACTTTCTACAATTCCTCAACTTACCATTATGGCTGAGAGTGCTGACACAGAACCCAGGCAAGTAATTCCCGTGGTGTAAGAAGGATCAAGCATGTAAGGTATCATCCCACCAAAGCTGGCAGCCAGCAATCCTGCATTCAATGCATGCCGACCAGGCAGGAGCAGAGGTGCAGAGTTCAGGATACCTGCAATCAAACACATTTTCAGACATGAAAATGTGCATTCAAGGAAGCCTGTTGCTAACGTTCAGAGAAGACTGAATAACTCAGCAAAAGAAAAATTAAAAAAAAAAAAGGGAGGGGTAGAAGATAAAACAAGTTAGTTGAAGCTGAGATTTTCTGCTGACTCAGAACTGCAATACATTCAAACTTCCTCTAGATTCTCAAATATTCTTCTTTAAACTGTATTTACTTCTTATTTCACTGAAGTGCTCCAGAATGGCTAGAAAAATATCTTTTCCTTTTGAAAAGCCTTTTTATTTTTCCTTCAACAAAGCCCTTCCACTTTATCTCCAGGTCTTTGTATGTTGAATGTGACATATAGTAAAAGGAAGCTTTTAGCTGGAACTTCTACACAAGGATTATCTCAGTCTCTCAAAAACTGTGTGCTTAAAAAAATATGACTACACAGGTAACACCAAGTACAAAACATTCCTATTTTCAAATGCATTAATTTCACAACTACCCTCAGTCACACAGAACTCCCACAGCTTCCCACATCTGCAGAAAGTTTAAGGGAAAAGGCAGTTCAGTATTTGTGTGATTCAGTTCAAAAAGACAATCATATTTATTTCATACTAGGGTTTGTTTTTTTTCAAATCACATGGCAAAGGGCTGAAACAATGCATATTTCCCAGTAATTACTTACATCAGAAATAAGTGTCTCATTTAGATTTGAGAAAAAAAATTAATTCTCATTTAAAATTCATTTTAATTTCATTCATTTTAATTTCATTTCATTCATTTTAATTTTCTCATAAAAATTTCAGAAAAGCTGAATTCAAGGGAAAGAATGAACTGACGATCTCAGCCAGGGGAGTCAAAGTGTGTCACTTACTACCCTTTTCCATACCATAGGATCAGTAGTTTGCTAATACAGACAAGCTTCATATTTCATACTATGATGATATGAAAATGCAAGGGAGAAAAAAGTAAACAGAAATAGGAGAGCAGGCTCAAACAGGCAGTGAAGTTTACCAGGGACATGCGCACAAATCACTGAGGAGATACAATGGAGAGAGATAAAATAACTCAGAGGAAATAAATTAGTAACTACTTAGCAGAGATACATCAGAAATACATACTACTGACAAATCCTTCAAAAGATTATTAGAGAAGACAGCTTTCCATCCTTGTCATATTTCCTCCTTCAAAGGCTGGTCTCACAAACATTGAAGAAAGCAAAGAGATGTTTCCCAAAGGAACTATTGCAAAGTTAACAACAGGATTAGTAATAGGAAGCTCTTAGCCCAAAATTCTTAGTACAAGTATTATTTCAGCTTCTCAAAAGCTGTGTCCTTACAAAACCAAAAATAAATGCAATAAAGAAACCTTTGCATGCATAACAACCAGGAATTAGTGAGTATTTAACTTAGAAAACATATTTGCTAAAACTGCAAGAGGCATGGAGCATGGAGTCTGTGCAATAGGTAAATAGACAGTGAACTGAATGGTTTAAAGTGAGGCAGCCTCAATACTGCAGGCTGCCTACCTTAATGAAGATTTCAGTGTTAAGAACAAAATCCTAGAAGTATTACTAGTGCTCACTGAATACAGTAACATGAGAGTTTCAATCAAAATTCTGCTCAGAAATACAAAGTTGTGATCATAAAAGTTCATTAAAATTAATTTGAGAAAAAGCATCAGGTAGTGTCTAAACACCAAAGCAAGACTTATTTCTAGACAAGATGAATAATAATATGTCAAAGCACAGAAGACAATCTTTCATAATTAAAGCTGTACACAAATTAAACAGAATTAGAAACAAAAAAGTACACTCGTAAAAATTAAACATTTAAACTTTTACCTGGTCCAAAATACAACGGTTTTTTTCCAATTACATAGCAGTCTGAAAGTAGAGCCAAATCCCGGGGGAAGAAAAACCCTTTAACAAATATTTAATTCTCAGCAGGTCTCACCTTGCAGTTTTCCATACGCAACAAGAGAGCCACTGAATGTCACTCCACCAATGTATGTGCCAAGATACGCCACAATCTTGGTGAGGTTTGCAGCAGGGTTGCCAGAGAAGTGAGGATATTCAATCATGTACTCTGCTACGCAAGTGAGCACAGCAGCCAAACCAACCAAACTGTGGAAAGCAGCCACTAGCTGAGGCAGATCTGTAATCTGGATGCGTTTAGCAATTGTCAAACCTATTGAGAGTTGAAGACAGAAGGGAAGTCTTAGAAAACACAGCCCACCTGTTCAGCTAGAAATTAGTACAGGATGGTTCAATGTGCAATGATTACACATACACAAGTCTGTTCCAACTAGAAATCCCTATGGTATTGAACCAAAGGTTGCACATGTGAATTTTGTGCATCATGAAAAATAGAAAGATTAAAGCATATCATGTGCTAAGAAGCTTCACCAAATATTGAGAAATTCATTGTTTTCTGTGACCAAGGCACAGTGTGAAAGAGAGAATTTCGCAGTATTCGGTCAGGAAGTGAACAGAAGTACAGAGTTGGGCAAGATCATTTACCTCTGGACACAAGTTTTCCTATCAGAGATGATGTGGTCCCACTTTTCAGTCAGCACATTCCTTATCACATTGTGAAGCATTAACAAAAGCCCTGACAGTTACAATATTTTGTTCACACAGTTACCGAATAATTTTGCACAAGCCACAAATGTCAGTTAGTCAATTCACTTGGGAGCTATACTGTATTTTATGTATATACAGGTTGCACATATGCATGCATGGAATATAGATTGTTAGTTCATCATACACATACCTATGGTCCCACCAAGTGCCATTGCACCTGACATCTGTGCCAACAATGCAGGAGTGGGATTAAGGCTTCCAAGAGTTGCGGCTAAACCTCCTGCAACACCAATCATACCCAAAGCATTTCCAAGACGAGCTGTTCCTTGGGTAGACAAACCAGCCAGGGCACCAACACAGCACAGTCCTGAGCCTAGATACATCACCTTTAAAGTAAGAAAAAACATCAGTATGAAGTAGTGACAAATTGCATTGCTATAAAACATCTCTGATAATTACACAAAATGACTGATTTCTCCAGAATGTCTTTAAGTCACAATTCTTAATTAAAGTCAAGAAACTTTACAGGATGAGGTTTTGGCCAATTAAAATGTGATATCTATAAAGATTTTTCCTCCCTTGATGACCCTTTTTTATCTGCAAAATGACTATCAACTAAAGCCAAACCAATGTTTCTCATCAGTTCAGAAGCAACCTTTCCTTTAGCACACAAATCCAAAACTATATGGTCCTCTTCATTATGGGGATAGTTTCATAATTTGTTTATGGCAAATTTGAACTAAGAAATAGCTTTGATAGTTCTGAACTACCAGCAAGAGTGTGGCCAGAAGGAGTAAAACTGTGATCATTTCCCTGTAGTCAGCACTGGAGAAGCCACACCTTGAATCTTATGTCCAGTTTTGGACCTCTCACTCCAATAAAGAGCAAGTCCAGAGATGGTCAACTGAGCTGATGAAGCATCTGGAGCGCAAGTCTGATGAGGAAGGATTTGGGGGTGTTAAGTCTGGAGAAAAGGAAGATCAATGGAGACTTTATTACTCTGTACAATTCCTCAAAATGAGATTGTAGCCAGGTGGGAATTGGTCTCATCTCCCAGGTAACAAGTGAGAGGACAAGAGGAAATGGCCTCAAGTTCATGGGGAAGGTTATATTAGCTATCAGGACATTTTTTTCATGGAAAGCAAGGCCATACTTTGGAACAGGCTGCCTAGAAAAGTGATGGAGTCACCATCCCTGGAAGTGTTCGAAAAAACTTGTGGATGTGGTACTTGAGGACATGGTCTAGCGGTGACCATGGTGCAAGGCTGACAGCTGGATTTGATGATCTTAAAGGTCTTTTCCTACATTAATGATTCTGTGGCATTCTGTAACTGTTGTTTGCTAAAAGTATAAACAAACTTACATGAACTGAGCTATATATGTCCAGATAATTGACAAAACACAAATACATTACAAGCCTCTGCCATAACAGTATGTTTGGATTCACTTTTTCCAAATGCACAAGGCAATACAAAGTGATTTTTCTTACTATTAAAACAAATGCAAACAAAAGTTTACTATAAAAAGTGTTATAGGTAAAATCCCTGTACATCCCTCTGCACTGAAAACTGATCCCATCCTTTTTTAACTGTCATGCCAAGTTGAACTTTCAGAAACATTTAAAACAAAGTCTGATTTCTGAAGTTACTGTATTATTTAGACTGCAGTTTAGGAAAACAGTCCAATAAATAAAAGCACTTGCTATGTTAACACAAAACCAAACAACAACAGAGCTTTTAAAGTGTGTTAGCTATGTGACTGCAAGCTTACAGTTAATCAGCTTCAGATTGGCCTTGTGGGAACATGCAGCTGATGGAAAGACCTTGGATTATTTGTTATCTACTCCTCCACAGAAGAGGCATGAAGAAACATAACACTGAGCACCGGGCTAAGAGCCATGAAGTTATCGTCTTACTTGTTCAATGTAATAGCCACTGCTGAGAGCAGCTGCATAGCCTCCTACAAATACACCACCAGGGAGCAGGTACAAGTAGTTGTACTCAGGAGGGTCTGTGGGACGTTTGAACATATCCAGCATTCTCTGTGTAACTAAAAAGCCACCTGGACAAAGTAAAGGAGCAATTTTAAAAAAATAAAATCTGAAATCAAGCATATACCAAATTATAAGAGAAATATTTAGTAATACCATATTACCACATGATTCAGCAACCAATAAAGCTAGTAACCTGGAAAACTACATGAAACAAAGGCATAATCAGTGTTAGATTTTGCTGTCTCTTTTAGCCTTTTCAGAAGAAAAGGAGGAATTGCTCTAGCTCCATACTCTGCACTGACTGTAGGGTACAGCTTAGTTTATGACTGCACTCTTTTCCCAACCTGCTCTAGCAAAAGCAGTACTTCTAAGTCACGTTGCTCACTTTGTTGCCATTTTATTATTGAAGCTGGGACTTCTGAAGCTCAAAGAAACAGAATTTTATTCTATGCTGCTAGTATGTATTTCAAGTAGGAAAATTAATACAAGTACAAATCCTCTACAACTACCCCCTTGGGTTACACAGGAAAAAATATTGTATATAATCACCAGCCAAATTTATGAAAGGAAAATGCACATTTAAATAATTCCTAAAAGAGGTTATTCCACAGGGTATGCAAAATATCTACAATAACTACTGTGAAAATTGGAGGGCTGATGGGTTTTTATTGATAAATGCTCTCAGAGTCTATTCTCAGACTAGTATTTCTGGAATTATACAATTAAATAACTACAAGAAATTTAAAAATTACACTAGTACTTGAAGTTATCCTTGGGAGAAAAGCTAACATTCATACCTGCAATATTGACTGAAGATATAAAGGTTGAAAGCACTGCTAGGCTTTGGGAAATGTCTTGAGGGAGATAGTGTCCTCCCATCAGTACCAGCCCACCAACCGCAGTCAGACCTATTTAGAGGAGATGAAAGTGTTACTCGAAGAGGTTACTATGTAACCTTAAAAGGCTCTACACCTGTAGGAACTTTCCTTTCAACTGTTGGACAAATATCAGTCAACTCAAATTTTGACCGCTGCTTCACACATTAATGCTTAAAAGAAGACAACCACAGTCTTTTTTAGGAATACAAACAAACATGCTTCAAAAGAAAAAAAAAAAAACGAGTAAATTAATGTAGTTTTGAAGAACAGTGTCCCAGGCACAGAATTAGCCAAGTACTTGTTCAATAAAAAAAACTTTGTTCATAATAATCAAAGCAGATCCACATATAGCCAAACACAGATACATAAAATCTTACTTATAAGAATTATGAATTCTATGGGTATTTTAGGATTTATTTTCTTTTTTCCCCTCTCTCAAAACACATAGTTTGAGTAGATGAATAGAAGAATGTAAAAAATAGGAAAGATTAGTTATTTTCAGGGCAATCTTTTGAAGAGATGGGAGAAAAGATGTGGTCTATGAAAGGAGACTGCATCACTCCAAGTAAAACAAACTTTTAAGCAAATAGGGCAATTGTAAAAATTACTTAGGGAAATTAAAAGGATATCAAAAGGATAAATTAAAACATCACATTTGCCTTTCTTTTGAAAAAATCATACTCTCAGAAATACATTGTTTCAGGTGTCCTTGCTATTTATGAAAGTAAACTCAAACATGCACAGCTGTACTAATTCAGGTAAAAGGAGTTGTGCCTGCTTCAAGTAGAAAACAAGAGGCTGTGTGACAGCCACTTACCTGAGATAGCATTAGTCACAGACATGAGTGGGGAGTGCAGAGCAGGAGTCACACCCCACACTGTGTGGTACCCCACTATCCCAGAGAGGCCAAACGTTGTCACCATTTGTGTGAAAGCATCATTAGGTGCTACAATGCCCAGCCCTAACATACCAGCTAAACCTAGAAGGAAAGCACAGGAAAGCTCTGTAACTTTTCAATGACTTCTTACATTTAAACTGTATAAAACAGGAGCCTAGTACTGACACAAAAGCAAAACTCCACATGGACTGGTTTCAAAATCAGGGAGATAATTTTTTCAAATACACTAAGTTCTTTCTTTCCTTTGTAACAGAAAATAAAGCCATAAATATAATCCACACATATTTGTTACACATGGACACAATGCAGCACAGATAGGTTTCTACACCAACACTGAATCCTGTCACTCTCTTGTTCTGTAGAAAAAAAATGTAGAAGTAACACTTATGTTGAGATATTGCTTGGATGTATTAAAGCATATGTATGAAGAACAAGGATTAAAATTAAGATTACTGAATTCATTAATTACTTCATGCAAAAATTCTGATACACAGAGAGTAACAAATGAAATGAAGAGCCAATGTTTATTTGTCATAGTAAAGTCCTATTTCCAATACTTCAGTAGACTGTGGCCATTTAAGTCTCACACAATACAGTAAAACCTGAAGAAAGCAAAAGCCATGGAACTGAATCTGCTGCAAAGTAGAGGCACAGTCCCTGGCAGGAGTCCTAATATTTAAGTAGAGTCAAACACATGTATATACAGACAACCAGCACTTATTGAAATGTCAAATACTTATGGTAAAATTTCAGAAGTTTTATTTTCCCTCTCAAGCAATTCTCACACTATACTGATTTTGCACCAGGATACACCAGCCAATCAATTGCTCCCCAAATAGCTATTCAATTAAATGAGTTAGATGATGGGTCATTCAAAAGTATTAGCCAAATGAGAAGTACCCTGCACTGATTCTCCAGCTATGGAAGATGCCTACCTGCTGTGTATACAGATGCAGTAGTCATGGTTTTTCTAAAAGGTGTAATAGTAGCTGCTTTTTCTGCTTCTAGCTCTGCTACAGTCTTCTGCTTCACTGGCGCTCCCTGAGGAATGTTTTTTGGTGGAGGTGCTGGGAAAATCACTTTGCCATCCTGACAAGAGACATTTACAGTTATGCCTAGCATGGTATATGCTTAGTACTTTTCTTCTCGATCCTGCAATTCAGGCAAGTGCTAACATCCTACAGCCATGCCCAGGAACAGGCTCTTTTTCTGCACCAGCAGAAGTTTGCAAGGCATGACCAAGTTAATCATACTGGTTTACACATTCTTCTGACAAGATTTGATATTAGTGTCCAAGAGTACCTGGTGAAGACACAGCACAAGGCTCCAGGGCAGAAACAAGAGAAAAGCAGAGATAAAGTTCCTTAAGTGGAAAACATCTAGGCAAAATAAAACTAAGTCTTGGAAATAACAAAATCTGCTACAGATGTGAACTGTAATCACAGCCTTTCCAGACCTCAGATAGAAACCAAGGATGATATCCCACATTCCTTGTTAATCTTCAGGCCTCTGTGGAGCTATCAGCACTGAGCTGTACTCACCACTTCAATGACCTGGGAGAGCTGAAGTCTATGCCATGCCCTGAGTTTTTATTTTATTATTTTCTGATAAAGCTTCAATTTTTTGCGTATTCTAGTTTCACCATTTTTCTCTCTTACTATAAATGGAACACTTTTTTTTTAAAGGGAAGAATGTTTTTCTGGAAGAATGTTTTGGTCTGGTAAAGCCTCAAATATGTTTTAAATAGCTATGTTTTTATCACACGAAACACACAAACTTTATCTTTTTCCCTATTTTTCATTAGTAAATACATTAGGTTTAACCTTGACAAGAAGACAAGACTAAAAAGAAACAGAGGAATTTTCAGCTGAATAAACACACCATTACCCATACGCTCCACCAAGCCACCTCTGAAATCTGCTGACATGCAGTATCTCTGAACACATTTTGAAGAGACAGAAATTATAAATGATAGGTCTGTACTCACAAATTAAGAAGAGAGTATTTATAGAGTATTTAGTGGCTCACCTTCATTACTACAGTTCCTCTAATAACATGATCCAGAGTCCCATAGTCGAAGTCATCTTTTGGATCAAAGTAGAAGTTCTCTTTGTCAGGACTAATAGCTTTTAGAAGTTTGATAATATTATTAGAATACAGGGTACTGGCCTGAGTAGCCATTCTGCTAGGCAGATCTGTGTACCCAATGTGTGTAACACCCTGAAAAAAATCCAAGTAAAATAATAAGGATTTGTACAATCTCTGAAAAAGCGTCATCTCTTCCAGTATATCCTTCTAGAGATATCTATCCAAACTGTATCATTTATCTCGGTTTATAATCTCAACTAAATTGGTTACCTGCAGCTCTGATCCTACTAAGTCAGGGAGATCACTCACAATAGCTACAGAATCCAACATGATCAATTCAACACCTTAAACTCTATTAGCAACAAGATTTCACAGAGAGGAAGACATATTGGTGCAAGACCTTGTCTTCTCCAAATCCTACATTCTCTCAGAACCTAAATTCTTTAAGCAATCAGGTAACAGATCCATCCACCTAATGCTTGGCATCTTCTCAGTTTTTCTGGAAGGCAGGGACAGGAGACAAGTTTCTGTATGCCACTGGAGTGAAGGGAGCTCCCTCAGAGCCGTGCAAGAGATACGTCTGAGTTCACATGTATGTAAAAATGTAGCTTAATATATCCTCACTGCTTAAAGAACTAATGAGAACTAAAGGATATCAGGTTTTAGAAAAGAATGGGAAGCTGAGGCTGGCATACACTCTGAGGTATTCAAAAGCAGGTATGTGTTAAAACACTGCTCCCACAACTTACAGCTAAGATCCATACATGCTTCCAGAACTCTGGCTTCATAATGCAATGCTCTGGCGCAATCCTAATAGTTCTGCACTGCTCCTGTTTTCCATAACACAGAGCCAGTACACTAAATCCAGGGGTAATACTCCTCTGACTAAAATGTTCCATATAAACCCTTCATGCAAGTATCTGCTTACTTCTCTTCTACATTCTCTAGTTTCAGGTTTTAAGCAATGACATCAAAAGCCCTAGAAAGCCACAAAGACAAGTGCAACATGTGGTTCTTTGATATAGACAAACAGAATTCTGCTTATGTCAATGACAACCATGGCAGCAGTGTCCTATAGGCTTCCCAAATAAAGGCATAATTATTTACAAGGATAAATTGTAAGGTAATTTACAAGGTAATGCAAGGATATATCCTTGCATTACCAAATTACACTCTAGGAAATCTGCTACTATAAATCTCATCACCCAGATTTCTGTAATTGTTAGCAGACTTCCCATAAGCACCAAAACAAAACCCAAAAAGCAGAAAGACAAATTCTCAGCTGAGCAAATGAACACTGGAGCAAAACCAAAGTAGCTCAGTCCAGGCCAAAGGACTTTCTTTAAGGAACCAATTTATGCTACATCTACTTTGGGTTTCAAGTGCTTTGGATACTGTATGGGCGACACACTCACATTATTGAAGATAAAGAAAAGCAAAGTCAGCACACTCCTGAAGCTGAAATAGTACTGAGTAAGCCAGAGACTTTGTACTGAAGTAAACACCGAGAGTCTGAACCTGCTTAGCTTTGCCTATGACAGGAAATGTTAACCTCCAGCCATGGGAGGTGATAAGCAAATCAAAGAACCTATTGCTACTGCTGTGTTTTTTAGCTAGACCAAGAAATAGATATCAAATCCCACCTTCAACTCAGAAGAGACAAACACTGGACTTGGAATTTTAAGTAGCAAGAATTCTGTAATATCCATAAACAACCAAATTAACACTATACAAAGGTGTTAGTTTCTTTAAAAATATTTAAATTTATGTATTTAAATAGTGACCAAATGCAAATCTAAAGGATTACTTCAGCCCAAAGCAGCTGAGAGACTGTTGAAAATCCAGCTGCTTATTTTCAGCATGCAGTTTACAGTTTTGTTCAGGGGACTGAGAATGAACTGTAGATTAAAATGCTCACCTTATGAACATACATTTCTCCAGGCTTTGTAGTCTCAATATTTCCTCCTGCTTCTGCAGCTAAATCCACAACAACTGAACCTTCCTTCATAGATTCAATCATATCTTTCTTAAACAAGATTGGAGCTTTTTTGCCTGACAAAACAAGGCATAGCAAGTTAAACACAAAATACAGCTTTCTATCTATTGAGCTTAGGAGATGACTCCTCTTTGCTCTATATATAAGCTTTAATTTTGTAAGCAAAATTAAGTAATTGGTATCTAGGATAAAAAAAACACAGAATTTTTTTTAGAAAGACAGAAGAAGTGTTAGAACACCCTGCTCCAAAAGCATACAGGAAAGTTATACATGGTAGGCTACCAAAGTCAAATTTTGCCAGCAAGCTGACAGTCTTAACATCCAATCTTACCATTTCGTTCATAACAAAAAAAATTTTAAAAAAAAGAGCCACCACATTGCCAGCTATTAAAATAGAGACATTGTGCAACACAAAGCACTAAAATCAAAGCTCTACTTTACTATGTTTCAATTACAAAGGACAGTTGCATTTCAGTCAGACTTGTTTCAGTGCACGAGTTGTATAGCAGAAGTAGCCATGATGCAATAGATAAGCGAGAGAATTATGTATTCTCACTTTATTACTAAATACTCCTTTTTTAGTAAGAAAAAACATGACAGTATTTGATTCATACTGATAGTCTATGAAAACAAAAGTTGTTTAAAAAAAAAAGGACACACTTTAAAACCAGGCCTTTATCACAGATGTGTAAAGGTACACACAGACATAATTCATTAACACCTCTGTTTTCATGCAGATTCAACCTCAAAATACAACTTACCTAAAAGAATAAAAATTGTCATTTTTCACATAAAGCATACCTGGAATAAGTGCTGTAGTGATGATAATGTCAACATCTTGGCACTGTTTGGCAAAGAGTTTCATTTCAGCTTCAATAAACTCTTTGGACATTTCTTTAGCATAACCACCTTGTCCCTCTCCAGATTCCTTTATGTCTACTTCCAATGGCTCAGCACCAAGAGACTTGAACTGTTCCAGGGCTGCAGCTCTAGAAAAAGAAAATTGTTGTTGAGGGAAAACCACTACTTTAAAAATGCATCATGACTTTACCAGTGGTTTTAGTAGCAATCTTCAGACAAGAGATGTAAAACTTATTCTAGTATTAAGGAGACCATAACAAAAATCCCCAGCTTTCTGTATTCAGTGCAAAAAATAATTGCATTGATAAATTTAGGTTCCGGTCAGACTTGAATAAGGAATGAAGCCACCCTATGGTTTCCTGTATAGTCAACAGAGTTGCTTCAAGAAAAACCTGAAAGCTGAGGCTCTGCTGACTAACTCTCCTTATGCATTTCTGTTGTCATGACTTCGTCAATCTAAAGCCCAAATGAAGGAGCCAAAAATGGGAGACAAGCACAGAACCAATGACCTTGTCTTTAAACTGTGAGATGGGAAGTATTAGTAAGTCTTATTTTCACAGGGAAAATTACCAGGGGGTGGGTGTTTGAAGTTGTGGCTTGCCAATATTCTGTAATTTATTTTGCATCATATAACATCACATTTAAAAAAGAGACTAAATTTCAGTGTTAGGTGAACAGTGACCACATGCAGCGAATTAAACATAAATGTCCTTGAATCTCAAGTTAGAAGTATCAAGAGTGCTTAAGAAGGGAATTAAAATAAAAATGGAAAAGTTTTAGACAGATTTTAAAATTAATAAAACATGAAGGACTAATAATGGCATGAAAATAGTAGGAAGTTAATTATGACTTAGTGTAGTAAAAAATTATTTCACTCTAATACAGCCATAAACAACTTAATCTTCAAGTCATTTCAGACTGGTATTACAATTTTCACACCCTTACCTAGTATCAAATCCACGAACCACTGCACCCATAGATTTTGCTGCTCCTGCAGAAGCCAGGCCAGCAACCCCTCCTCCGATGATCAGCACCTAAAATGATAAAACTCATTAACCAACCATTTAAACTAGATACCTTATGATAAACTAGATACCTTATGTGGGGCAGAGCTGCCCCACATATCCAACAGTTTAAAAGCTGTAACTCCTAATTACACATATCTAAGAGGCAACTCTTCTGTAGCTAACAGTTTCTCCAAGTAAACATAGGTTTTCTCCTTGATTTTATCTTCCTTTTTTTCTTCCCTAATTCTACTTTCATTTCTCTTCAACCCAATCCACTTGTAATTCCAATCAAGTAAATCTTTCTATTGCACTCCTCAATGCACCAGAAATCCCAATATCTCTGAATTTTCTTAACTGCTTTCTTACCCTCTCCTACTTTGAAAAAAAATAAATCCAACCCCTTACAGCTAATCTGATGTTTAAAACTAAGCAAGCTTAAATAAAATTCAAATTATTCTATTATTCCCCAAACAAAACCAGAACAGATGTGAACAAAAAGTGGTATGAGAATAATTACAGTAATTTCTGAAGTCTCTAGAAACAGCCGAAAGACAGGAAAAAAACCTTTTAACATAGTTTCAGCAACAGCTACCTTTGCTCCGAAATTCACATATTCTTTTGCCACAGTGTGTTTAATTGCACATACCTTTGCTGGAGGAACTTTACCAGCAGCTGTGATTTGACCCGTGAAAAATCGACCGAAGTGATTTGCTGCCAGGACCACAGCCTTGTAACTGTCAGTCAAGGATGAACACATATCAGTGCTTTCTCAGATTCAGTAAATTCCATTCATTACATCAATCAAAAAATGAACATTTGACCACAGTATGTGTAGGATAAAGCAAGCTTAGTATTTTACAACTGAACACAAGCTTAATAGTCTTTATTCATATTTCTGTGGAGACATCTGACAATATTTGATCTTTTGTTTGTAACTGCCACAGCAATTGCATTCACACTGGGTGTTCTTTGGGTTAGTTAGCCCCTAACAACATCAGATCCCCATTACAGACAATCTGTATTCAACATAACTTAGTTCAGAGCAAAAAGGTACTAGACAAAACAGTCAAGGAATTAGAAGAATTGTGTTCAGTTTTGTTTATTTTAAAAGCACTGCTCTGATCTGCTATAAAGCTAACCATAAAAAACTTTAACACTACCCTGCTTGAAACAGCTCTGCATGAAAATAGAAATGTAGAATAATTTTAGATATACCTAATATCAAAGCCAATGATTTTAATCCAACTATACTTAATGAAGCAAAAAAAAAAAAAAAAAAAATCATACCCAGCAATGTTGGCCATGGAGCTAAGTGCATCATATCCCTGAGCAATGGTGACCCGTGGAACCTGATCCATAGCCAAGACAGTAGCTTTTTTTTCTGCAAGCTTTTTCAGGAGGTCTGGATTTTGTGCTGGGTAGATAAAACTAATCAGGGTTGCTGCTGTCTTAAAAAGATCTGCCTCATGTACACCTAGAGATGAGTTATATATAGGAGCTCTCACCTGAAAAAGACAGAAGTCTCCAAGTTAATCAGAGGAAAGAAATCAGAACACATTCCACTTACTTTCTCTCAGGTTGCAATCTATCCATTCCCATCCAAAAAGTACAGAAAGAAGAAAGTACATCAAAGGCTATTTACACAACTGAACTGAGTAACTGCACTTCCCAGCTGCAGTCCACATCATGGAATTGGCTCTAGGTGGATTGGTGACAGGGCAAAAATTGTCAGCACATACCTTCACAAAGATCTGATGACTTCTAGCTGGCAGTCGCTTGCTTTTGTAACAGACAGCTACCCTCAAACCCACCATTTTTAAGCAAAATGATTACTCAACAGATATGACAATCTCTACAAACTAAGAATCACTAATAAGGTCACAGTGTATGACTATATATATACAGGGTGTTTCATGCCAGATGTCCAGCAGACACTGATCTTCATCTATATTCACTTCTGAGTTTCTCACTTTTCTCCAAACAGAAACCTACTTAAAAGCATTGTTCACAAAGCAGCTCACAGAAATTCAATGTTCAATGCTGATGGGATAATTTTAAACAGAGCAACTGAAGGAAGTCTCAATAAGGTAAAGGTATTTTTCTCTTTTTTTCCCTTCAGGACTCTGCACAACCTAAGACCCCTCAAGTAAGATTGCTTTTAGCTCTTTTCTCAAATTTTTAAAAACACCTTTGCTGTGGAATTCAGAGAAGTTACAAAATCATATTTTCTAAATCCCAAACCATGCTATTTAAAGAGTAACTAGAATTACATGTTACCAATTTTGGACAAAAGATTTCTTAGAGCAGGGGTTTCATCTGACTAGATTCCAGAACTAGTCTACCTCACTCTAGAAAATATAACAACTCTTAGGTAGGTAAAAACTTGTTAGAGATATTATCCACATTTTTTTCAACACTCTCATTTACTTTTTTTTAGTGTAGGTGCATGCCTGAGCTATTAAAAAAACCCCAAAACTTGAATCAGAACTCAAAATGGAAAACACTAATTTAAAGGACCTTACTTACTGAATTTTCCACAGATTATCAGAAAAAAAAATTGCCTATACATTTCTCCAAAAACAATGTAATAGGAAATATACTAATAAAGCAATTACTTTCACAACCAAATCAGAAGCCAAGACTTCCTTGGTCCCCTGGATCTTTGCTCCAACTTCTCTGTAATGGTCATCAGAAAATTTAGAAGCTTCTCCAGCACCAGATTCCACCACAACATTGAAGCCTTGCTTAACCAAGGCTTGAACTCCAGCTGGTGACAGAGCCACTCTCTTCTCATTCTCAAATATCTCCTTGGGGACACCCACAGTCAGTTGTTTATATGGAATTCCTGTAAGAGTGGCAGGTAAGACAGCATTAGTTGTACTAAACATTAATTAACTGGTATAAGGGACACTCTCCAATGCTGTACAGACACATGCAAACACATGTCACAGTTAGCAACTCTCCCTCCTAAGGGAGGAGGAAGCAGAATGCTATTTCCTAGGAACATCTTTTACATTTCCTTAAATTACACCATCTTCCTAGAGATCCTTTTCTCAGCAATCAGCAGGTGAGCACAATCAGCCACACAAGCAGTAACAAGTGTTTGGTGCAGTTCATACTCATTGTCGTTTACACAGCTCTGATTGTGTAACTGGCATTCTGATTTACACAATACCTGGTGTACTGCTGATAACAAATGCTGCCTCAGGCCAGAATTTAAATCGCTTTCCAATCACTTCCAGGTTATTGTGAAGAAAGAAATAAATGAGCTTGAACAGTGGAACTGCATTTTAACTGAATATGTTTGTAATGTATATCAAATTATGCCAAATTATTGAATGCAACATACACACCACAAAGTACATTGAAAGATATAACTACATCAATAAGGTACTCTAAAAGTTGCCACAGAAATGAAAAATGTGAATTCAGAAGTAGTTGAAGAATAAAGGAATATCCAGCTACTAGTTTCTTCAAAGTATTTATCTTCAAAGTTATTTCCTTGTCTTAAATTGTTCAAAGCTCCACTAAGTAACACCAGGAAACTGATGAAGCTGAAATTTATGTTTTAGTTAAAGTTTTCAAATTACAAACATCTAACTTTATTTGAGTACAATTTGGGGGCTTTCAGTCTCGTATCTGAGAGATAAACTTCTCTGATCCAAACAAGTGTTTAAATACATTATTTATGAATACACAGGCTCAAGCAGAATAATCATACATAAAACTATTACATTGCTTTAATTACACTGACAGCATGCAGTCCAACACATACACTGAATCCTGTACCAGCTTTCACTTACATCTATCCAGAATTCAAACCTGGATTGTGACATTACTATGCAAGACATTTACACCACATGAATATTAATAAACTATAATTTGAGCAATCTAAGCAGTCACTCATATTAATGATCAAGCAACAACAACAACAAAACCCACCAAAGAAACCCCAAACCTAAAAAAGGAGAGAAAGTGAATGAGAGGCTTGTTTAAAATTACAGATCTCTTTTTAAGTTATCCAACAATACTGTGTATTGTGCTACAAAAAATTGTACCAAGCAAAGAATGCAAATTTTAGAAAGGCCTCCTTTTGACTTTGAGATAGAAACAAGTAAAAAAAAACCTAAAAACATACTACAATATAAGAGCTTTGAGGAACTAGATTTAGATTTAAAATATCAAAATAAATTATCTGTGAAATTGAACCTGGATTACAATGTGCCTAAAGTCAGCAATCTGAAAATGTTTTTGGTTAGAAATTTTCAAGCTACTGTCAACTTACTATGTTCTGAAAAACCAGTACAGAGCTGCTAAGAACTGGTACTTAAACACCTAATTATATTTCTCAGCCTACTAACACATTAAAAAAAAATATTAACACATCCAACAAGACAGAATGACAGCTCACCAGACAAAGAAGATCATTACTTCTAATTGCTGCACCAGGGGAGGTTTTACTGAACCACAGGAAGTTCAGGTTGGACACCAGAAAGAACTTCTTCACTGAAAGGATGGTTAAGCACTGGAATGGGTTGCTAAAGGGAAGTGGTCAAGCCAATATCCCTGGAGGTGCTCAAGGAACAACTGGATGTGGCACTTAGTGCTATGGCTTAATTGACAAGGTGGTGTTCAGTCAAAGGTTGGACTTGATCTTAGAGGTCTTCTCCAACCTTAATGATTCTATGATTCTAATTACTTCTACTTTTTGTTTTAATCTTTGCCTTTGAAATTTGACTAATAAAATAGTAACAAATAATTTAAAGATAGAAGTGTTTTGATGTTTTATATGTTGCAGAACATCTGAAATATTTTAATCACAAGACAACACTCAGATTCAGAAAAACATACATTCATAGAACATAAAGCCAAAACAGGATCAAGAATGCACATCTAAAACAACAGATCCACAAAGGTAACAGAGCTTTGCAATGATTTGTTCCACCAGCATACATCAAATCTAAGCATCACCGTGCAACTCAGGCCATACCCACCACAGCAGCACTAACCACTTGTTACCAGCTGTGGTAACTGTTGCTGTCACTCAAATTACTCTTGTCATTTGAAGAGACTTTTCTCCTCATCTCTTCTAATTACTACACAATAAAGTACTGCTTCTGATTTTCACTAAATCAACTCGGTGCAAATGAGCTCTCTTGTCTTTTAGAAGCAGGAATGAAACCTAGAAGATTGAAATTTGTTAGGATAACAGGGACCAACCAGAATTTCAGAGAGGAAGCAGCTCTAGGGTAGGGTAGGATGCAAAACACTTTTCAAAAAGCACTTTAGAAGAACTAAAGTCCTACCTTCCCTTTCTCCTTTTGGAAGTTCTTGTAGCACAAGAATGCCAAAGGGGAGGAAAGGAAGGGGAAAACATGGGGGTAAATAGGGAAAGGGAAAAACAAAGGGAAAGGAGGAAGGAAAAAAGAGAGGGGAAAGGAGGAGCAAACAGGGAAAGGAATAAATTATAGCATAAAGGAAATAGATAACTGCAAATTTAAAGGTACAAAGACATTTGTAAAAAAATTAAGCTTTTATTTTTCTCAAGCAAATCTTCTTCAGCTCCTAAGGCTCAAATGACAACACATGCTTCTAATTTCCTTTTGCTCATTTGCTTCTGTGTGGAGTATCAGAATAGAAGAGTAAATGGCTAGGAGTAAAAGGCCAGAAATATACATTCACTAGATGCCAGATGTGTTTCCTCATTCCTCACTTCTTTCTTTACTTGTTCATCTTGCATGCAATAAAAATTAGTACAACTTTTTCAGATAGAAAGTATTTGCACCTTATTTAGTAAGCAGAATGATCACAGACCAGCACTGAGGAACATGCTCTTCTCAGAGCTTTACGAGATCAAATCCAAGATAAATATCCAACAAGTCTCATCTGCCTACCTACCTTTCTTCTCTATCCCACTACCAGAACTCCAGCAGTCCATAAATATAAAAGCAAATGAATACATAAGCAAACTGTCAGTTTGCCAGCTTTTAGCTAGAGTAGGTATTGGACATTTTTCAAGTAGACTGCCCTGAGCTTCCACATGATTATTCAGCACCAAAATGGAGCAGATATCTACAGCTCATGAAAAACAAAGATCTATCTGAAAACTGCAGTACAGGTCTTGGGAAGAAAGGGTTAAAAAGTGGAACACTGGCACTGAGGATTTCAAAGCTCCCTTTCAGCTGGACATAACTCTTGATAAGCCTGTGTGAACAGCAGGTCTGTGATGATTTACTGGTGCCTGTGTCTCCACTTGTTTTTCTCTGCCCGGGTGCTGCTTCAGCAATACCCTGTTAGCGAAGTAATGGAAATAAATTATAAATTTACCCTTTAGATTCTAGACATGACTTTATGGCTGTCCCACCTCCCTTTCTGTGCTGACATACACAACAGCGTATGATCAATATTTGAGCTGGAGGAAGCTTTGTGACTAACACAGATTTGGTTTGCTGGTTTTGGATTCAGCAATTTCATTAAAGTTGATAGTTTTGAAAGGTTGAAAACTAATACTATAAACTTAGGACCTTGATTTAGTTTTTATTTTGAGGAAGACCATCTGCTATCCCTGCCAGGGATTTGAAGTCATGTTACAGTGTGAAGGCTACAAATTGTCTCTCTAATCCTTCATGTCAGGTAATCTCTTTAAGTACTGCCTTGAGTATGTTTTAGTGCTGCTTTACGACATCATGGACATCTTGCAAATACTGAGTGATATTACATACCTGGAGCACCTTTTTGACTCATTAAGTTTTTAAATATCTTGAGTAGAAGATACACAGTACTTAGATTCTGCCACTATCAGAAGTAGAAACATTACATTTCACAAGTCTTGGAATATACATTCCAGTGAAATGCTCTGGCATATACATAACTTAGAACTTTAGTTCAAAAAACTAGCAAGAAGCCACTCTCTCATTCCCATACAACAATCCTAACTGTGTAATGAAGACATTGTGAAACTTCAAGTAAACAAAACTGTAACTGACTTTCTCCATGTAACTTCTATCTACAAGAATCTTAGAGAAGATTATAAGTCAAAACTTTAGCAGAAAATACAGTTTTTTGATCTCCTTAACCTGACTTTGGGAAGTAGTCTGCAACAAAACAGGATCAACCAATAGAAAGTGACTTAGGGAAAAGATAAAGGAGAAGTTTTGACTATATGCCACATGTTCTGGGATTGAAAACAGGATGCCTATTTTTAGTGTTACTCTAATAACCTTTAAACAAACCATCTCACCTGTCCTGGAGATGAGGACATATTCCAAAGAACAGCAATATGATGTTGGCAAAAAGAAAAAAAAACGGTACAGAAGATTAAACGAACACCTGACCCTCCTATTACATAAATAAGGATTTTTTTTTTAAAGGGAAATTAAAGGAGAATATTTCTTCGTTTATAAATAAAATAAAGCTTACCTAGAGAACTAATTAAAAATGAACTGCTACAGGTTTAGAAAAAAGCAGGAAAATTTAAGAAAGAAGCCTCAAAATAAAAAGGATATTTAAAATCCCGAAATAGAGAGGGGTAAAAGTCATAGAGCTGTAGGACAAACTAATCTGGAAGGATACTGGGAAGCTCAGTCAATCACTCCATATGCATCTTTCCCAGGGCTTCAGAAAGTTTTGTACCTGTTTCTGAAGTAACTGGTCCTAGTGACTACCTGGCACAGATTATGGGAATACTTGTTTACATCTCTTTGAAAGTTCCTATGTTTCTATTAAGCAAGTAGCAGCATAATAGCTGGCAGTAAGAAAATTATCCATGCTCCAAGTTCACTTTTCAGCTGACTCTATCTCTGTATTTCTTCTCCTCAAGCAGCTATTGCTCTTGCACATAACATAGCCTGGATGGAATGAAAGCTAACCTGAGTAAGTAATAACTACAGTCTTAAGAAGAATCACTGTGACACTAGTCTTTTCAGAAAATTTACTCTTCTTACTAATACAGTGATTTTACCAAGTGTTACAATAATCAAAGCTATTTTCTGAAAGACTAAAACACAGTTCTTTTGAATCTGTTCCATTTTGATTCAAGAGCACTTAAAAAGTAAATATAAGCAATAGCCCTGCTTCTAATTTGTCATTAAATTGCTGTTTTCTCCTTGATTTGTCCTCTACCAAATGACAAATCACATGTTACCAAAGCATACTACAAGGACAGCTTAATTATCAACCAAAAGACTACCAAACTTGTAATTCTCCACATTAAATACCTGCATTTCATGAATATTACTAATCCTTAAATAAGGGCTTCCACACAACAGATTTGACAGGGCAGCACTGAGCATTTAAACATGACACTAATCAGAATTCTTCATCCTTGTGGGAAAATTTTTCAAAAGTTATTCTTAAAAATAAGAAAATTCACACACACAGAGTAGCATACCAATTTCAATAAAACAGAAGAGACTCTTTAGTTTCATGATGAAATTTGCAGTCAAAGCCAAATACAGAATTGATTCCAAACTCAAACAAGGACACTTACCTGGGATATTTGAGAAAGAACTTTGAACCTAGTTTCCTATGTTCCAGTTTATGCTCCCAACCAAGGGACAATCTGCCATATGAAGACTGACAGATGTCTCTTTCATTCTGATATTTAATGTGGAAAAAAAACTGAAAGCATCTCAAATCTATCACAGACATTCTGGTTTCAACACACAACTGCGATACAGATTTATCAGAAGCCCTCAGAGTAAAGAAACTTCCCCTCATGACATTTCTTTGGAAGTTCCAAAATCTTCAGTCACCAAGTTGAAAGGACCACAAAATGCACCATTTTCTGTTAGTACTGCCATAAATTCTACACAATGCAGGCTTCTCTGAACTACTACATGCTACTTTTGTGTCCCATGTTTTCACTAACAGACACTTCTGTTTCCAGCAGCACTACTTTCCTTATACTCTCAAGTACCTAATGCAGTTACCTACTGTCTACATTTGGAAGAACCAAATGTCATGTGTGCAATCCGTCCAACTCTCCACACTAATCTTTTGCAGACTAAGATCCTACATCTCCACAGAAGCAAGGTCTCTAAATTCCAAGGGACACATGACCCATTCAGTAATAATGGGCAAAAATAGCATTAAATCTGCATTAGGTATTCTTCAGTCTTCCTTCCAACTGTCAGGTTATATACAGTATAGAATAGAGAAAAAAAATTGTCAGGTCTGATCTTCATATACCAAGCTCATAGCAGAAACTGGAAATAAGAGTGCCCCCTTTCCCAGTTTTTTTTCCTGAAAATACCAGAACTTGTCCATTATCTGCTGAAATGCAATTTTTTGCAAATACACTAACAAACCCTACACGTGAAGATACATATCAATAGTTTTTCAAAGTGATACAATGTGTTTCCTAAACAAAGTTAAGAGGCTTTTTTAAGATTGGATAATAATGTCTACATATACTCATGCTAGCAGATGCTGTCCTTGTGAGATCTGTATTTTCTCACATGCATGCAAATAGCTGCACTACCAAAACTAATGAGGAACTCAGGATTTGAACTAAGAAAAGCATTTATTTAAATACTTCCTTCAAGCAAGGAAAGTATTAGCAGGAGCTCAAACCCTCTAACCACAAAAACTACATGGATCCAAAGTATTTATAATAAACACAAACACCTTCTGCGTAAGCCCTATAAAGCCAGACTAAAATTGTGCTGCAACTGACTCAAGTATGCTGTTGACATGATTTAAGAGTGCTCTTTCTAAGTCTAAGACTAAAATTGTGCTGCAACTGACTCAAGTATGCTGCCGACATGATTTAAGAGTGTTCTTTCTAAGACTTTCTAAGTCTTTTCTGTACTAATGCAGATCTGAAAGAAAGAAAAAAGAAAGAAACCATTTAAATTCATGTTTTAAAATAAAACATTGCTTACAGTACTTTAATCAATTTACCTGGCTTTGGAGCTGCCTGAGACCCAAGCACCTGGTGGGTTCTAAACATTCGCAAGCACAGCACCTTTGCAGAACATGCCTTCGGCGGGAGTACATTGCCAAAAACAGGAGCTGAGCATCCACCCACAGCAACACGCAGAAGGCTCGCCATTGCACCCAGACCTCCCAACAAATTCCTTGCCACGTATGGAACCCCTACAGCAAATGTGAAAACAAATCAAGAGTTATTAATGACACTGCACAGAAGGCATGTAAACGCAGCAGATTTAGAACCAGTCGACTGCCAGTAGCCACGAGACAATCATTCCTCACCACCTTTATCTTTCAGGCTAGGAAAAAAAAACACTTTTTTTTTTTTTCTAAATTAGGTAAGACAGCTCTTAACCAAAGCAACTGGCGTGACCAGCCGCGACCCGGGATCTCATTTCTGCGACTCAAGGCCATTTGCTCTTTACACCGTTTCTTTAAAACGGGAACTTTGGTACGGGAAAAGTGCGGCGCCCCGAGGCACCAAACAAACGACTCCAATCCGTGCCACAGCTCCCTCAGGAGTCACCCTCAGGGACACAGCTTAGGAGGCGCAGCAGAGCGCGCACTCGGGGCGGGACACCCCGGGCAGGGGAGCCGGGAATGTGCTCTTCGCCCGGAATCCCGCCGGCCCCCGCAGCAGCGGCCCCTTTTCTCTGCTGTCACTATTTATAGCCCACGGCCACCGAATGACCTTGGGCGGGCGGCTCGTCCCCCGCCATGCACCGTCGCCGCTCGGGGGACACCCCGCAGCCGCCACCGCCCCGCTCCCGGGGACCCCTTCCTGGGCCACCTGCCTCCTCCCGCACGCCCGTCCCACCACGCTCCCTCCCTCCTTTCCTCCCTTCCCCCCGACAGCGTGGCACCGCTGTCTTCTCCCTAACAGCGGGTGGCCCCCACACGCAACAGGAGAATGAGGCGGTGCCGGCGCAGCCCCTCACGACGCGGCGCACACGCCCCGCGCGGAGCCCCGCACACGCTCCTCCCGCAGCCCCGCACCGAGCCAGCACCGAGCCAGCACCGAGCCCGCACGGAGCCCGCTCCGAGCCCGCTCCACGGACCTCCACAGAGAGCTCCGCGCACCGCCGCAGCCCCGCACGACGCCGCGCTCCCACCCGCGGTGCCGCCGCCGCGGCTCCCACCGACCTTGGGGCGGGGCGGGGGCGGGCCCGTGCCCGCCAACCCGGAAGGACTGAGGGGCACGCGGGGGTCGGGCGGCCGCGTCACGCGGCGTCTGAGGGGCGGTGGCGCGGGGCTGCCGAGGTACTAGTCGAGCCCGCGGCGCCGGCGGTGGCAGAGCGGGATAAGCGTGCCCGGCTGGCTGCGGCGCGGCGGCGAAGGTCGGGGCTGGCGAGGAGACGTGCCGAAACGCGCGTGTTGGACGTGGGGCTAACGCCATAGCACGTAAGTGATGTCCTCTTCGTTATTGTTATTTCTTAAAATGCGGGATAAAGCAGCGAGGTGTCGGAGTGGTAGGCGCAGTATGGGAACAGAAAATGGGGAGCTGTGTCGGCTTTGGGCATTAGGAGGAATTTCTTCATAGAAAGGGTGATTTGATGTTGGGGTGGTGCAGTCGCCGTCCCTGGGGGTGTTTAAGGAAAGGCTGGACGTGGCACTCAGTGCCATGGTCTGATTGTCGTGGTGATGTTCCGTCATAGGCTGGACTCGATGATCTCAGCGGTGTTTTCCAACTTAATCGATTCTGTGATTCTGTAGCTGTTGAAATAATACATGTCTGGATGAAGAGCACATGGGGTTGGAGAGGCAGTTCCAGAGGACAGCTAGCCACGCTGCCCATTGCCTCCATGCATGGTCTTCACACAGTCCTGCATATGTTGGCTTACTTCACACGATCTGTGGGTTCCGTGTATGAGGCTTATTTTGGTTAGAGATTTTTTTTTTAATTTACTGAAGTCTCTGTAGCTGCTCACGCAAACTACATGTTGCTGGAGATGACACAGCTTCCAGACTTGTAAATGGTGACTTAGCAAGTAAAGTTAAGCACTGAAAACATGAGAGTTACCCTAAAAATAATTAATAGGATTCTCTACTAATAAATGTTCATTACTTTTGTGCTTTTAAATAAGCTTGTGTGAAATCTGTTGAGCTTTAGAGCTACAGATTATGCCTGTGGTTTATGTTTTGGGCTCAATAACCACTAACTCCTACAAAAACATGTCTTATCAGTATGGGAGCGATTGGAATAATTCCAGCTAGTAACAATAAATTACACTTAAAAAGCTAGAACCAGCCCTCTCCTTTTTTTTCTATTAGAAATACATTATCAGCATTAAAAAAAAAAAAAAATAGAGCAAGTAAAAATGCCTGTGTTCTGAATAGTGACAAAAAGTGTGTGACTTTTTGCACCAGGCACTGAAGGTGTGTGTGGATTTGGTTCTGAGCTAAGTTTTAGATTATTTGGTAGGACACTTAGGACAAAGCAGGTATCTCCTAGTGACTGCCTAGAATTGTTCATAATTGTATTTGGTGAAAGTTTTAATCCAGTCATTGGGTGCTTAGGTGAGGTCTGTCTAGTTAATGATCTCAGGGGTTCTGCTGTGTGGCCTCCAAGGCTTGAAGTAATTCACAGGACTTCAGCTGCTCAAGCCAAAACCTTCTAAGCATAATGTTAAGCAGTCTAAAGGGGTGTACTGTTGTAGGCAGTATTTGGGGCTTGTTATTTTAGAATTAACTACCTGATTATTTTTCTTAACTTTGTTTTAGGTGTCTACACTCGGGAGAGGAAATTGGGTTCCCAACCAAACTCAACTGCGTTCATGCAAACTTAAGTAGTGCATCTCTAAGAAAAATATGGATTTGGGATCACATTCCACTTTAAATGGTAAGCAGTTGCAAAACAATAATTAAATAACATAAAATGTCTGCTAAGTGAAAAGACATTTGGACACATTTATGTCCAAAGGTGAAAACTTGTCTTGTTCCATAACTTAAGGCACTCCATTCCTCTTAGGTGTAAACTTTAAAGAATGAGATTTGCTAACTTGAAAGATTGGCATATTCAAAATTGGCAAATTCTCCATTAGAATATAATGATGGAGATTTTCATTTTTCTTCACATTAATGTAAGCTTTTCATTCTCCTCCTGGTAAGGCAAAGTCTACAGATGTGGACAGAGTCACAATATAGGCATTAAAACTGGAGCTGATAACACAAGAACACTGAATATTTTAATGGAGAAATTTAGTAGCTATTTTATGATCTTTAAAAAATTGGTAATGCTGCTTAAAATAGTTTTGACAATGGTTTACACAAGTGAAGTATTATAATGGTTTTTTAAGACTCATTCAAAACATCCTGCATTGGCTCACATTCCACTTGCAGAGTATAGATTTATTAGTTTACCATTCTATATTTCCAGAAGGGTTGCCTAGGAACAGTTTTCCCATGAGCCTCATTAATTTTAACTTATGACACCTTTAATGTCTGGCCACCTTTTTATCTTGGCAAAAATCAGTCCAATTCATTCCTTGGGGAGCAAACAAATATTTTATATCCTGCCCCTCCCCTGTTAATAATTGAAAATGGTAACATGTAATAATAAAACCAATAGGAACCTGACTACTAAAGGCACCATTTTACAATGCAATTGGATTTTTTTTAAATACAAGACAGCACTATTGTAATATTTTAATAATGTTTCATACATACTCGCCTATTTTTTTCAGCCCTTCATAGTGGTGAACAGAGCGGGACCCAATGCCACACAATCTTTTGATTTTTTTTTTTTGTGGTAGGAACAAGTGGCAAGGACAGCACAGATCAGACTGTTCAAGGAGACAAAACATAAACTCCCCCAGAAGGATTAGCTGAGGTGTATTTGTGGCACACCAGATTACATTTGCCCTCCTCATTTTGAACGCTGATTGTGATACAGAGGTTGCAAAACAATGAGAGAAAGACTTTGGAATGAAACTGAAGAAGAGTAGATTAATTAAATTGTAAATGGACATGTGAGTTGAACCGTTCTCAGTTTATGTGATAATATTAGGAAAAATGCATTACATGAACCATGTTCTTCAGTTGGTTCCTATTGGTGTGGAAGGTGGTTGTTAAACATTAAATCAGAAGAGCATTTGTTATCATATCATGCATAAATTATAAATGAAAATATATTTTTTCTGAACAACCATAGTTTCATTAAGTAGCCCTAGCCATACAATAATATGGTCATGTTGGAGGCTTAACTTTATGGGGTTAAATTTAAAATTTCGCCTGTAGCTTTTTCATCCCTCTCTGGTGTAAACAACTGTGTATGCACAGCGTGACGTGATGCACCTGTGGCTGCACGTCTCTCCTGTTGTAGCTTAAGCCTTGGCCCTGCCACGGTCACCTCGCCCCGCTCGTTACCGTGGAGATGCAGTCGCAGGGATTACGGTGCCTTTGGAAACGCTGTTTCCAGGCTGCCGCGGCTCGGGGCGGGCGCGGCCATCGCGACGCTGCGCGGGGGTGAAAGCGAAAGTGCGGGGCTGGGGCGGGCCCGCGTTCCGCCCGCCTCCCGCGGCCCGCCCTCCCCGCTCCGCTCCGCTGCGCTCCTCCCTCCCATGAGCGCCCGAGCCGCCCGGCCTCAGCATGTCGGAGAGTTTCGACCGAGCGCCGGGTGCCGGCCGGGGCCGCGGGTGCGGCGCGCCGGAGAGCGGCGGCGGGGCCCGGCCCGCGGGCAGCGCGTCCCGCGGCTCAGGCTCGGCCGAGGAGCAGCAGCACCAGCCGGGCGGCCTCTTCCCGCAGCAGGAACCATTGCGGCCTCCGAAGACGGCGCCCCTGGGCACCGGGATGGCAGGTACGGGCTGCTCTCCCCGCTCTTTCTTTTCGCGGGGCACCTGCGCAGCTCCCCGCCCGCCGCAGGGGCTCCGGCACCCGCCCTCGGGAGCGTGGTCCCGTTCCCGGGTGTGCGATGCGGGCACCGCGCTGAGGCCGGGTCAGCCTGGTGAGCCCTGGGGCCGGCGGACACCTGGGTGAGTAGGGAGGGGTAAGAGGAAGAAAACCAAAGAGAATCATGTGATGCCCTGTGCAGTCAGCTCAGCACCTGCTGACCGATGCCCAGCCTGTCCCTCAGCAACAATTGCCAGCTCCTGGCCAACTCTCCCCCGGTTTATATACTGAACGTCACATTCGGTGGTACGGATTATCCCTTTGACCAGT